TAATATAAAATCGCAAAAATAGTATATTAAAAGGGTCTAATAAATAATTTAATATCGACCAATTATAAGTAATTTAAAGCCTTTCTAAAATAAATACCAATCCAGTCGTACCTTAATACAAATATAACACAATTTCCGACGATTTATATCCTTTACCGTAATAAATATCAAAATATATCACATATAAAAACTAAGCCAAAAAAAAATAAAATAAAACATATATTAATACCGCGGTTAATAAAATTAAAAATCCCTATAAATATTAATATTCGGAACATTATAAAATCCAGGCAAAAATCAACTATTAAAGTTCAGGGCCACGATCAGGTCAAAGAAAAATAAATCAACCTCAATATAGCCCAAAAGTAAAAACAACCCCAAGAAAAAAAATACGAAGAGGCCGACCTTATTCATAAAAAGCACAAAACCACGCAAATCATAGTAATACCTATTAATCATAGCAAAATACAAAGTAAACCGAAAGGCCGAGCAAACAGCAACTAATACAAACCCATTAGCTCATTATAATATCCCTAGGCCAATACCTTAAATTAACTAATATTAAAAAACATATAATTATTATTTTCATTATTTTCAAAAAAAAATAATTAAATTAATAAATATTTTTAAACCCATCAAAATCAATATAAAAATACATAAATTATTTCAAAACCTAATTATTCCAAAATATATTAATAATATAAAATATTTTTTTTAAAAATTAATTAATTAATTTTTTATTAATTATATTATATTAAATGTTTTTTTAAATATATTTCAGTTATTTTAAATTATAAAAATAGATTAATAAAATTTATTGGTAAAAATTCCTGAGGATTTATTGTGATATATAGGAAATATAATTCCATATCGGTATTTCGGATCATGTCGGGTCTTAACTTAATATATTAGTTAATTTAAAGATATTTAAATATATTGAAAATATATAAATATTCCTTTCAAGAATGTTTGGAACTATCTGTAGCAGATACCCATTCAAATTCGTCTTGTTACTTCAGTTCATGGGGTGCTTGAATATAAGAACTTGGACTGGGCTGCGAGGTTCTTAATAAAGGCACAAGCATTGATCCAACGGCAAACATAAATGGGCACCATTGCAAAAGCATCTGCCAGTCCAACATTCAACAGAGATTGAGATAGCGTTTTCAACTCAATGTTTTTCTAAATCGATCTGCTTGTCATTGCTGAAAATTCAGGAGCCGGAGCTACCATTCCCAGTTACGCGCAAAGCACTCTCTGGGTCAATGCGATCGGGAACAATCACTGTAGCGTTCTTCCCTTGCGTTGCAATGATTCGCAAAGTTTCGAACCTGGAGAAAAAAGAGAACAATCTGAAGACCACAGGCAGGCAATTAACTCAATATGTATTTCTAGTTCAACATAGGAAGCTAAGCATACAGTCTTGGGTGTGATAAGAAGAAGCTCAGTCAAACTTGGTCTTACAAGCTTTCATCAATGGTGAACATTCCCAATCAAAGCACTCAGGAGTTGAATTAAATATATCATGGAAAAGAGTTGTCCAAACCAAGTGCCACAAAAAACCAACAGAATTGACACTTTGAGCTTCGAACCATTGAAGTTGAAGAGCAGCTGCGTCGTTTCCCATGGCCTAAACCCGGCAACCCGCTGACAAGCCGACAATGGATATGCAGCTTGCATTCCATCATCATCGAAAAAAGAATTGGTCGTTCGAAGCGGTGTTCAGTTTTTTTAGCACTTGAAACAGCAACATCTCAAAGATCCACGATATCTGAAATCTTCTGTCCCGCCTTGGAAGCCTCTGCGAGGATACTGGCAGATTCCCTTTGTGCACGTGCTTGAATCAACTTTGCCTCTGCCTCTTGCTGAGCCTCAACAGTTCACGGCAACATGCTGACACAGTGGCAGAACCTGTCGTCAACAGAAGAGATCGGGTCACAGGTTGACAAAAAGTGCAAAAAGAATCCCCATAAATCCCAGACCAGCGACATAAATAGTCTCTGCTACTCAAAAGTTGGCTTTGAACCAAGGTTTGGAAACTGCTGAAAGGGGTGAATGTCTGTCAAGACATGATCTGAAGCTTCAGGCTGCAGTATGATGAAACTTGTCATTGCAAGTTTGAAGACTTACCAGCTCAATCCGGCTCACCTCAGCAACAGCTGCAAGAGCTCGCTGCATACTTTGCTGAATTTGCACTTCCTTCAGCTCCACCTGCACGGGTGCTGGTATTCGCAACAAGTTTGGTGCATTTTAGCCCAAATCTTTGAAATCTCCATGGCAAAGCACATCAGAATTTAAAGATGCATTTGACATTGTTGCACAAGCTGCATCTTGTGTCATGTTGTGTGTTATATTGCGTCAAAAATGTTGTTTCCCTGGTGGTTGGTCTATCGCTCCAATTTTTGAATTGTCAAAACATTGAACCTGATCGAGCCTGATCGAGCCTGATTGAACGCCCCGGCCTGGCTCACTTCGATCCCCCAGGGGCCCGTGGCTGCATCGATGAGCTCCGTGATGCGCGCATTCAAACGGGGCCGCTGAGCAAAGATCTCACTGAGGTCGTTCTCACCAACAACTGTACCTGAGAAATACCGACAATAAAAGACCAGGAATAAAGAGTCACCGAAAACCCTTTGAAAACACCTTTCGGTTTTCCTCGAGAAGCATTCTTGGAAACTTTCAGATGTTTTGTTGACGCTCTTCATTCTTGAGTGGACACGTCCCTGTTTACATACAAAAAACACTCGCTCTGTTTGCTAAGCTATGTCCTCAATCATTGTCTCCACTCTCATTGTTCTTGGTCAGTTGTATTCTCGGCTTTGTGCCATCTTACCACTCCTTGCTGTTTGCAATCCAAACAAAGGAAAACCATCTTCCAAAATTGACCTGGGTAATTCGTCATTTCCTGCAGCCGAAGGTCGCATAGTGACCTGCACGAGGTTGCTCAAAGCTTGTTGATAATTCTGCACTTCGAACAAAACCTGGCAGCGACCACGCGAATGAACGATTCAAACCTTTCTCATTTTCTCGTCGAAGACGGCTCAATGCTCAGTAGGCCTCTGACTGAAACGGAAAGTCTCTTTGAAAGCCAAGAAACCTTTGTGGCGTCTAGAACACGGTAGAAGCACACGGCATCAATCGTGACAGTGAGGTTATCCTTCGTCATCACCATCTGCGTTGCGGATCTTGGTGGTAGAAACACTGACACCAGGACCCCAAATCCAATCAGGTTTCTGGATGCACCAAAACCAGCATCTCTTTCTTTGCACAACTTGAAAAACTATGGCCAAAGGGGGTCCATTGCTACAGTATGGTGAGAAAGCTATCCTTCTGGCCAGGCATTGGGGATGGTTGTGGTCTTAGGTTTATCACATTTCTCTTGTTTATGCTGTTTGGATGAAAGGTGTCAGGGTTTCTACCATATGATACCAGCAATATTTAAACGGGGTCTTTACCAGAAAATTGGACGCAATAAGATGTGCCATGTCCAGTTTCAAGGAAAGCATCGTTCAAAATGTTGTTTGTCCTTCCATAGGTCCTTAGTATTTGGTAAAGCCATTGGGCAAACTTGTACATAAGGGACAAATTCCAAATTCTCTGGGTTGGTCTCAGTTCTTCATGACCCGTTTCTCCCTCGCGTCTGCCTGCGGTTGCACATCAATACATGCAATCTTCCTCAGCTTCTCAACTTCCATGACTTGACTAGTGTACTTTGGGACTTGATTGACTTTCCAAACTTGGAACGAAGTATTCGAGAATGGAAATTTAAAGCTTGCCAAGATTTGTCAAGTGTCAAGGGTACAATCATGACTTTCTCAACAGCAACATTGAATTGGTGTCGCCCAGGATCTAGCATGCGATCAAATTTGCCGAACCGTAAAACCACACCAACGGATCCCTGATCGACTTGTGCAAAGTTGCCAGCACCACCAAAAGGCAAAGAAAAGAGAGCATAGACCCGGCCGAAAAAAGTCCGGATCTTGTTGCTGAAAGCGTCCTTAGCTTTCTTAGTTTCCTTCCCTTCTTTCTTTGCAGATAGAGCTACAGCCGGTAAACGAAAACGTCGTTTCTCCGCTATGCCAACGAAGAGAGCTGTCATCATAGCAAGTTCTGGTCTCCAATGTTCAGCGGCCGAGCTTAAACAAGGAGATCTTCGCACTGACCGCGGAGCAACGACATGTTGAACCCGTGCGGGAGTGGAAGGCACGGCAAGTGACGATGCTGGGAGCTCCATTGGGGCGTTGTGGAGTGAAATCAGTCGTGGCATTTTGATCCTATCCTGCAGGAGCACCAAAGGCCGAGCACACACACACACACACTACAGCAGTTCAACAAACTGAAGCCGCCAAAACCAAATCGACGAGCAGCTGAATCGACATGGACCCTGCTGCTGAATTGAACATGTCTGGCTGTTCATCACACTGCTCGAAGTCTCTCTATGTGAAAAAGCCTTGTACATTGACAAACCATCAAGAGCACATTGAATAACAAACGGAAACATACATTTGTTGGCATTGACGTCCTTGCAACTGGATCAGCAAGATCAGCCCTTAGCCAACCAGTTATGGAAAGCCCAGCAGCTTCTGGGTTGTAGCTATAGCAGTGTGGCATTGGCGTCCAAGTACCGCTACTCCCTGGCCCTTGCGCAGCTCCACTCTTTTTCAACCTGCCTCTTGTTCCTAACTGGAGCACTGGTTTGAAGCAAAACTTCACAGCCAGTGGGACACACATATTAAAAGCACAGGCTAAAACATCCCAGCCTTTGCTGGCATGAAAGCATTTGACAGCTCTGCAGCTGAATGCTAGGTTGAAAGTACACAAGCTGTGCCACATCTCCTTGACTCTGTGCTATTCTCTCCGGCCAAATTTCGCAAAAGGTTTATATAGTACGAGTACTTATATATTACTTATACTTTAGACTATTTTGCATTTTTCGGGGTGAGGCCAACGGACGTGTTCAAATAACGCCTTTGGCTTTGCCAACTTCAACGAATGCGTCAATGCATTGCTGCACTTGGTTTGGCCTTGAAAGAATTTGTTGGGTTCAACTAGCCAAAGTGATCCAAGCGATCCAAGTGATCCAAGTGATCCTTTCCCAAATCTCAAAGTCTCTGAGGTGCCGGCTCATGAGCTGCACTCATCTGAACGCGAATGCCTCAGGAAAACATGTTGAAACATGTTGAAACATGTTGATTTTCTCTGGGAGCCTGATTTTTGACATTTAACAAAGACCATATCAGGTTCGCTAAGGTCGGCACGAGCAGCACCTTTAGGTACCACGGGATAGCTAAAACCGATGACCTGGGCAAAGATTATTTGCTTCTATGGTTTGACACAGACTAAAAAGTCACCAGTTTGTGGGTCCAGTGAGTCACGCATCATGTTGAGCTAGAGACACCTCGGATTCAATCTAACTCTTTCTGTAGAAGTCACTTCGTCCTCTTCAGTGTGCTGTTCCAGAAGTTCTCACCAAATTCGTTCCAAATTGAGCCAAGTAACGTAGATGCCACGTTTCAGCATCTCATCCGCCATTTCACTTGCAAGGCGGGCGTCTCCCAGCATCACTGGGACGATTGGGCAGCTCCTTAACAGAGATCAGGAGCCCCATGCAGCGCGCTCTTTCCGACTCGGATTCTTCGAACTCACAACTTTGGCAAACCGTGCCATCTTACCTTGCTTCACCAAACAACTGAAGCCAATTTTCCACCTAAACAACAAACACAAGCACTTGTCGTTGCTGAGCACTTGTCCATCTTGGCATTCAACATTTTGAGTTGTTCTGAGAGCCTGGCTCGTGGCCGCTGAGTTTGAAGCCAGCTGCTTTCATTGAGGAGCGGAAGTGCTTCACATTCGCCTGCACATCACGCAGTTGGTGATGACGATGATTCGACGATGATGATGATGATGATCGTGGTGGTGGTGGTGGTGATGGTGATGGTGATGGTGATGACGACGACGACGATAACCTGCAACCAGAAGGAGGCTGAATACGTGGTTCAACGTGGCGCCTGCAAGCGCTGAAGCAAATCGCCACTGTTGGACAGCATCTTGAAGACCTATGGTCCAGATTCTCCGTGATCCGGGAATGAACCGAGTTCTGGGGGAGCTAACACTGGAGCTAACACTTGTTGACACTCAACACTCCACAGTCTTACTTGCACAGGATTACTTCAGTAACTTCTTAACCAACCTCCAGAGAAGCACCAGCAACCTCAGCTCTCAGCTGGAGCTCATCACTAATCTGGTCCAGATTTTGGTCCAGCTTTTGCTGAACGGAAACTCAAAAGAGGATATTCAAAAGCTTCGAATCGAAGATTTTAGCGCATGCTCTAAAAAATTTGACACATCTCGGCCAAATTTGGCGCTTTCGTCGTCTTTTCGGTGCTTTCAGTCTCAGGCAGATGGAGCAAGTGTATTGGAAAAGAGGTATGGCCTGCTGGGCTCAGAGATAGAACGGACACAAAGCAACAGTAAACAAAAAAACTTCACAAAGAAGGACACGAAGGACAACAAGGACAACAGCGTTCACAACAAAACAGAGTCTGCGTGAAGCTTCAGCCATTCCTTTGACGAGGATGAGGAGACAAACAACTTCACTAATTCCCAACATTGGAAGATCAAGTAAGATCAAGAACTTCGAGACATGACCATCACTAAAGTGCCCTGCCTTGCTTTATTTCTCAGAAGGTCAATAAGCACCTTGAGCACTGCATCAATTTGGAAATGTGTGCCGTGTTCTTGCAGCAATGTCTGCCTCAAGGTCAAGTAGCACCTGAAAGAGCCAAGGGTATCAGGACAAGGCGCAACAACCAACAAGAATTGACCATTACACCCAGCAAAAAGTTCCCCTTTGCACCTTGGGACCGGTAGTGTAGCCACCTGCGAAACAAACGCGGCCGAAAGGCATTACAGTAAGTTACAACCTTTGTGTGCCGTTGCGCACACGCCTGTTGCGCCACCAAGCGCCTCAGAGCAGCAGAGCAGTCGCTGCTATTGGTGAAAATGAAGCAACATCTCTTGAAACACACAGATTTCAGAGAAATACTCGCTGCCCCTGCCTTCCCCAAGGTACTGTTGATGATATCGACACGTCCTGCCAGGATCGACACTGTCTCTCTTTTCTAAAGACTCATTCGGGAGAACAATGAAGAACAACATGAAAGCACAACCTGAAACCACGGAACCACTGAACATCCACATGACGGATCCGTTTAGCATACTATGAACAGGTCCAAGGCTCCCAGCCAAAACATCAGGTGCTATCCGTCCTGAGACTCCACACAGCTCTGGTGTGCCCTTTCCTGTGGCTCCTAAGCATCTGCACGCGACAGCACCACATTTTCGTCCGTGTCATGTCATGATTTTCATGATAGAAAATGTGTAAAGATGCGTTTCCCACGATTTTCTCGCAGCTGCACTTAGAGACACGTAGCGAAGTCTTTAGGATGTGCACACTCTCGGACACACCACAAGATTTCACACTACTTCAGAACTGCTTCACATATTGGCCAGCTATGGGAAATCTGCACGTCTTTGGAAAGCTACGTGATGGGAAATGGTGCCCCCATCTGTGCTACATTGTGACACATCGTGACATTATGGCAAGCTGATAAATTCTTTTCATGGTTGCGTTGTTCTCTTTGACGAGTCAATTCCGGGTTGCACACTCTGGGGTGACAACTTCGCTCCACACAGAGCATTTTGCCCCGGTGGAAAACAATGGGAAAACAATTGCAGTCATGGCATCAAGGACTTCAAGGTCACCTCAGACTGAACAAAAATCAAAACACACCGAAACTTGCTTCAGTGACAAAAAACAAAGTTCATTCACACACCTTCTGTCACACGTGTTCTGAAATCTATACGTTGCCTTTTAACTTTTGTATCTGTCTGTTTTCAATGAAGCGGACCCGGCTTCAGCCATCTGCTTCATGTGTTTCCCATGTAGCCAAAAACTGGTGCAAAGCTGAACTTCCAAATTGTACCGTTCTCATCTGGCCCTGAAGATCTTACCTACAAATGATGAATACTCTCGAAACGTGTCTTCACTGCCAGCATTACCTGCTCTGCCCGAAGAAATCTCGTTCACACTTGGACTCTTTGATTTGAGGCACATCTACTTGAAGGGCTTGGGAGCTGAGAGATGGACTTGAGAAACTGTTCCAGCTGTGTTTGCCATGCACCAAAGTACAAACCTTCCTTCAGAAACCTCACGAGGAAAAACCCAAGGCGAACAGAGCGGAGACACCGAATAGAAACAACTTGAAACAACCTTCAAAATGCACAACTTTTTCTACTCCAAGTCCGCTGCACAGCCACAAACATCCACAGAAACTGCACAAAGCTCTGAGGTTTGCTGAGAGCCAAGCGCCACTTGCGCCACTGCCAAAGCCGAACCAAGAACCAGTGCCGCTTTTGGGACAATGCGCTGTGCTTCTCTCATCCTGCGTCAAGTATGCTTAAGCTTGTGATTCCTCTCCGAAGCACTTCTGTTTGATTTTCTGTTCACTGGATAGTGCTGGTCTTTCTTTCCTGCTAGGCCAAGATGTTTTTGTTCTGCAGCCTTTGTCTCTCTCTAGTCCTCATTCGTTAGAGGATCTGATTGCTTTTTGTCTCCCAAATTGCTGTCCTGAACTCTGGCTTGTAGCCGAGCAAACTGATTGTTCCTGCAGTGGTACCCAGTCCAGCGCCAACGACGAATCCTGCAATGCCTGACGATCAAATCCAACTGCAAGACTTATGAGCAACCTCTGCAAAATCCATACTCCAACTTCTTCTAACATCATATCTTGAGTTTGAGCTAAAGCTTAATATCGCAGCATTTCAGGAAACGAGCTTTTTGTTGTCCCACTTACAATCTGTCACAACAACATTTATAGCTTTCCAAGTTGCTATCAGCCAGTCTCTCACCCAAGGTGCGCTCATGGCGATCCCGGCTCTGGGGCCGGATCTCCCACCACATTCCCATTGCTTTGGGGGATATGTCAGGATGAGTCGGGTTAGTGACTTGTCGTACGATGGCATTGTTGATGGAAATCTGGCTGTCCATGATTTCCCATAAAGATCTGAGATTCTAAGATATCTCTATTTCAATTGTGTGCACTGCTTTAATCACGAAATGGACTTTCAATGCCTGAGCACAAAACACCATAGTGTCTGCCAAATTGTGAAGCAAAAGCAGCAATCACGAGAAAACGGAAAGGTCTTGCTTACTCTCAAAGCCTTCCCTGCTGAGGCTCAGGCCTAGAAAGCCGGTGGCATGGCCTAGGCCGCAAATGGCTTTGCAACCCCTGGCAAATTCAATGAATTGTCAGGAAGGCACCGGTCCATGCAGTTGGACGAAATGAGATGGAGCTGGACCTTGTACATTCTTGGGGTTTTGCTATCAATGATATATTCGTCTTGATGCTCTACTGATTTCTGACGGATTCTCATCCTAAGGCTCTGGCACTCATCCACAAAGACTTGTGCCTCGTACTTGTCTGCAAGGTCGCAGATTTCACCTCATTTCCAAACATTTTGGAGAACAAATACATAACCTCAACATCAACAGGCATCAACAGGCAAAGCACCAGCAACCCGCACTCAATCCATTGAACTGTTATGATTGTTATGGCCGCAGTCTCTGCAGTCTCTTTCCTACCTTCAGCTCTCCTGGCATAAAACCGTAAAACCATCCCTGAGAGCTTCACGGAGCGGTGCAATGTCGCCATCCATGGAAAAGACCTCAGGATGCTGTGTGGATGCTGTGCAACGTTAAAATGTTGAGCCTGTTGAGCCTGTTGAGCCGATTTTTGGAACTCAAAGTTTTGGACATTCTGAGTGCATCACTCCGTCAGTCACAATCATACGCTGACGGGTCCCTTTGGCAACACACTCCTTCAAAATTTCTTCGAGGTGTGCCATGTCCATGTGGTTGTACCTGCCGGAACAGAATCGCATGTCAACCTGGTCTTGGCAGCCAGCAGCAGCTAAATCTGATGGGCTTCGTCTTCAAAAGGCATGCAGTCTCCCGGCCAGTTTTTATCATCTAATTAGACCGCTTCTTCTCTCCTCCTATCTGAATCTGCCGAGATAATCCTGGCACTACGTTTCAATGCGCAAAAAATCGACATTTCAGGTTTGTCAATGCAGTCTCTGCGCCTGTGGCGCTGTGCTTTGCATAATCTAATGCCATCAATGATGGAGGCGTGATTCAACCTTTGCGGCAACGGAAACTGTACGCTGTGTCCTTTTATCTGTATGAAATAATTCAATGACACAAATCTGTGGTCTTGATTTCCGTAGTAATCTCTTGAGCCCCTGCATTCCAAGCAGTGATGCCACATTTCTTCGACATGCCAATTGTTTGGACTTCAGCATCTCACTGTCACCCTGTGTGTTTCAGGGTGCGTCACTATCACTGTCTAACACAAGATTCTGTGCGACAGCCATGCGACGCGTCTGAAATAACCGCATCCTCTGGACCAAGGCATGCCTGCAAATGGATGCGAAATGGATCTGAGGTGTGAAGCTGAAATGGATGATCCGTGATGATCCGCCATGCCATGCAAAGCGTTCCAGTCTTGAGCTTCTTCAGGGCTCCTTGTGACATTATCTGCTGACTTCCTCTGCGCTTCATGCCAAGCAAAGTTGCACACAAAACCAAGCCGTCTATTTTGACATTGAAGTATTGACAATTAAAATCGTTTGGAGCCTGTAGACCTTGGACATAGCCTTAAATCTGTTGTTCAGAAGTCTATCTTTGCATTGTTTCCATCTTTGACAACTATTGTTTTTGTCACCGCTTTGATCCTGAAAGTGTCTCAAGAATATTGTGCCCACCTCAAAGAGACCTGCATTGGCATCGAAGCAGGATGGAAAGAGAATCGTATCCTCTGTGCCATGGAACTCGCTGATTGCAGCCTGTGACACGTCAAGCTGAACAGATGGTATCAACTGGTTTGTCGTATGCGTCAACTGGCCTCCAATTTCTTGTGGACGTCCTCCACATATGCTCAAAGAATGTTCAAGCTTGCAGCTCCACAGTCAAAAACGATCGTTCTATCCCTCGTCCTGAGTCCCACAAATAAATCGAACCGAAGAGAGTCCAAAACCATGGGAACTCAAAGTCTCTTGCGCAGCCTGGCTGCGACAAGCGGCCACACATCACAGGTGAATTGCTCGAAAGACTGATCACATAAGAAATGGCTGGTGATAAAGGAAGGTTCAATAGACATATCCCAAAAAACTCAAGAGGTTGATTAGATTTGATTAGGTCCCGGTTATAGGAAGCAACCATTCGAACCTTGATGCGCCATGAAACTGTGGAGATACAACCAGGTAACCAACGGTCGCTTGGGATAAATTGCTCATCAATACAAAATGTATACACACACAACCTATCCTTTAGCATATGTACAAAGCGGGTAGTATATGTACAACGAGGGTATATAACTTGACATATTACCATTATAATGCGTATATATATATATAATTATACGTCTTTATGTATGTAATATGTACACATGTCTATCGTGACTGACAAATTTCAGCACAACTTCTGATGCCTGCACCAACGCAGGATGACTTGAGAGGCCCAAGTAGTTGTTGGCGCAAAAGTTGAGCACCGGCTTGGACCTGGCAGCCACTAAAATCCAAGAAACTGATACACATTTTGCATACATTCCAGGCATACATATGCCATATTCCATCAAAACTTATCAAATTTCACTTTTTTTGGCTCATTTTTTTTCTTGGCACATCACAATTAGCATTGATCAGGTCCGAGTCACTCGAGTCTGACTGTTTATGTCTGCTTGAGAATGTTTTCATGCCATCCGCATGGCACTATAACCCTTAACCCTTAAAATCACCAAGTACTTGGCATCCCTTGGCATTCCTTGGCATCCGGACCCGCCAGCTACGGTGACAGCCCCACTCTGTGGAGATTCCAGCACGCGCTCCACCTTGAAGGTGCCAGCTGTGCGCATGCCTTGAAGCTCCTGTCAATTCTGTAGACTTTCCATGAGTTTCCTATGTTTCCTCAGAGGAAAAGTCTGAAAAGTCCGAAATCAAACGAGGAACACCTTGAAAAGATTTGAGAAGACTCTCTGCAAATCTGGGTGACAAAAGCGATTGGCATTTGACAAGCTGATTGGCGTTGAAGTTTCAGCGTTGACAACACAACTAGGCTAAGTTTAGTGTGCCTCTTCCAAGCGCGAGAGGAAACTATCATTTCGGCCTCAGCTTAAATATTGCTGCAAAATTCAACACTTTGAGATGGGTCCGGGGTCCGGATCAAAACTCCAAGACCTGCCAAAATCTGCTAAATAGATTTCAGCCTTTTCTTGGCCGGTAAACAATAATAAACCGTACAATAAACCATGACATCATGATATCATGACATTCTGAACTCAGCCCCTCAAGGTCAGACTTCGGGCCGGGCTTACTGTGGTCAGCCGCCTGTGCAAAGCTTGCAGCGGACGCCTCACGTGGGACGACATCTTGTGACACAAAAAAAAACAAACGAAAGGATTTTGAAAGGGTGAAAAAGGTTTGTGACACCCTTGAGATATCTCCAATTTCTGGCCTCCAAATCCCCAAAGCCGCCATGTTTAGCGACGCTACAGCAACAAACTACCAGCTGTGATCCAAGTTGCATAAACAGCACTACTTTCAGTTCCGAAATGTTTTGGTTGCAACTTGCAGTTCTGCTCTCTGCAGCAAATGCGCTAAATTGTGGATCCACATTTTGTACTGCCATCACTGCAGGTCGTCTATTGTGAAACAAGGCAGCAACAGCCTACCATGACTTCCATGTGCCAACCCGATCGCTATGTCAACCTTTAGTTCTGGCTGCTCGCCAGCTCAAGCAAACTTCAGTGTCTCTGTGCCCTCCGTGAAGGTGTGAATCTGCTCTCCTTGAGCAACGCGAAGAGATTTCTGCAAATCGGTTGTAGGGAAGAAAAGTGCTACATAGTGCTGCAAACTCCAGCTATTTCATGATTTCTTGACACATTGGTCTTCATTTTTGGTGCCCTCATTTTCTTGAACGTATCTCACTTGAACCCCTGCGAAAACCGGTTGTGCCAAGGCTCCGTTCACGACTTTGACAGAACCTCCTTGAAGCAGGGCCACGTCACTCTTGTAGCGCACCACAACGATGCCAGAGCCACCGCTTCCAGCTCGCTTGCAATTTGGATCAGTGCCGCCACCTCACAGAGTGGTGGAAAAACTTCCCAAGAATGAAAACATAAGCATCATACTTCCATATACTTTCTATATATATATACACTTTCTATATCTTTCAATTTCATCTGCGATTTTCCAGCAGTGTTTTTCAAAAGGGGCAGAACAATTCCATCCAGTTCCAGTTCCAGTTCCAGTTGGCCTCCACCACCGGTGTTTTTCTTGCCGTTGCTGCCGGTGAACTTCTTGGTGTTGGAACTTCGTTTCGAACCAAAGCTGGATCCGCCGCCACCGCCACCTTTGCCACCTGGGTGCGCTGCCTTGAGATTTTTCAAATACCAAAGCACCAAAAAAAAGAACGAATTCTCTTGACATATTTTTTCAAGAACACTTTGACATCGCATCCTATACCATCCTACACCCATCATGCCACGCAACCTTTCCCTCCTCCATCCTTCAAGTTCTTGTTGCCATTGTAATTGACTCCTCCGCCACCACCTCCACCGTACCACTTCATCTTGCCGGTGATGTCTGAGGGGATCCCGTCACCGCCGTGGCCACCACGATGTTTGCCTCGGGAGCATTTCCCGGCAGCACCAGCTCCTCCGCCACCTGCACTGCCTCCCCAGCTGCTTCTGCTGGAGATACCTGACATAGCCGCACGTGGTTCTACCACAAAATATATAAATTAGATAGACTATAGATACATAATGATACATAATGATACATAATGATACATATATCATATAGATACTATAGATTGATGAAGATTGATAGAGGCTACTGCAAAAATAAGTGAGGGTTCGATGCAAATACTCGGCGACGAAGATGTGATATGTGGGTCCCACGTTTTTTTTTGAAGAAAATGACTGCCAGTCATTAGTAACTCAGTAGTAATACTAACTGCACCATGTACCATCATGTACCATGTGTGGGATCAACGATAGATCAAAATCGAAATTCTGTCGCCTTGTCCCCGCCTCCGGGATGTCCTTGTCCTGGCTCGGCAAATCCGGGATTTCTCTTAATCTGATCCCAACGTCCACCACCACCAGAACCTCCACTTCCTGCGGCAAGGAATTCCATGCCGTGATTTCGAAAAAACTCAGGGGCTGGGTTTGGATTTCATCAGACTATTCCCTGACTATTCCTTCAACTCATCAATATCTATTTCAATGACCATTTCACGATTTAAAAAAGGATTTGATGTTTTTGCATACTTCCTTCGGGCATGACTTCAAGCTCCTGGACTTTTAGATCTGTCAGCACCACGGCCACCACCAACCGCAACCAACGGACCGAGCCGGGACTTGCCGCCTTTCGTGGACCTCGCCATGCGCATCAAATTCGTCAGATTCTATCAATTTATCAAAGTCTTTCAAAAAATCTGATGAAGCTTCCTTAAATCCTCATTCGGCAAAACAGATTTTAAAGCTCTCTTCTCTCCAGCTGTTTCCCGCCTCTTCCTCTTGTTGTTGGCCGGTTTCTGTCCTCCTGAGTTTGCATGTTTAACTTTTCACAGGCATTGGAATTGATTGAACAGTTGCCTCCCCAAAAAGTCATTGCTAAAGTCTAAATGTCATAGAACCCAAAGTGACCTCAGCTTCACATATAAATAAATGAATGAATGACTAAATAAATAAATAAATAAATAAATAAATAATATTATATATATGTATGTATATATATGTACGTATGATATTGGTATCAAAGCATGCTCTCAGATCTGGTCTCCTTGCCCGGCGTCACCACCTTTTCCGACCTTCACTTTCCATGTTTCGCCTTTTTTGATCGTCACAACGCCTTGCAGCACTCCACCTCCTCCGCCGCCACCGCCACCGGCGCCACCACCACCGGCCACAACCAGGTACTGGAGCTCAAGGGCCTTCAGACCTCCACCAAAAACTGATGCCATGTTGGGTAAAAGGTATGGCATGTGCTGATTCCTCTGTTCATGCTAGATATTGAAAAATTCAGCTGGCCTGGCCTGGATCGTATTCCAACTTGGAGGTTCCCACATTTTGGAAGGAGTGGATCTGATAGCCACCCTTGGAGGTGATGGAACCACCCACCATCAGGGGCACAGGAGACGGGTACCGCACCACCACTAAGCCAGAGCCTCCAACACCGCCCACACGGCATTCGGGGTCGGTGCCTCCTCCACCGCCACCTGTGTTGTCTTCTCCGTCAGTCCCTGTGAAGCTTGCCGCGCCATGTTTCACTTCGCTCGCCCAGGAACTGCCTTTACCACCACCACCACGGCCGCCCAAACCACCGCCGTTCTCCAGCTCTTTGTTGCCATTTTTGTTCACTCCACCACCACCACCTCCAGCATACCACTTGGTTTCACCTGTGATATCTGAAGGAATTCCATCACCACCTGCACCACCATAGTGTTTCTTTTTGGCGTCCTTTCCAGCCTCAGGGATTGAAACTCCCACTGCATGTCGCAGCTCAAAGAGTTCCTGTTCCAAGCCATTTCTTTGCCAAACTGTGAACATAATTCTGATGATTTTCATACATCTTTCATACATAGATCTTTCATCATCTTCCAACATTTTTTAAAAAGGAATTTTGTGAAGGGTATGATTCGGGAAGAAATGTGGAAATGGACTGTGGCTGGAAAAACCGAGGTGCCTTGCCGGCGCCACCACCACCGCCTCCTGCGCCGTAGCTTCGTCGGGTGCTGCGGCCTCCACCATTCCCCTGGCCCTTCTTTCCGCTGCTCCTGGAGTTCATGGAGTAGCCCGTGTTTCGTTTCAAGCGTTTCAAGACACACCTCAACTGTGCGACTTGGGGTACATCCATACATTCATTCTCATTGTGCCGTCCAGACTTGGTGAGCATTGTGCAGAGTACCCATGGTTTACAATTAGTTTACACTAATATTTTTGTGAAACAACGGTCCCTTGCCCTGCGCCGGCATTCTGTGACGAATTTCTGCCGTCCTCTTCACATTGGGATGGTCAAAGCCACCGCCACCGCCGGAGCCGCCGTTGCTGCCGGGCTTCTTGAAGCGTTTGCCTCCAGCGCCCCGGCCACCACCAGATGCCTAGCGCAGGAACTTGCTTCGCAAATCGTGGTTTCAGGTAGCTCATTCCAAAGCTTGAGTTCATTTTTCACATAGTTTCATGGAGCCCTCATTCCAAGTAGGGACTAGGGAGAGAAACAAAGACATACTGAAAGCTCAGACTTGAGAAAGCACCCATGCCCAAGTAGTTGTTGAAATTTCGATAAAAAACTCAGGTCTATCAGGCTATTAGGACCCACACATGGGCTGGTCATCATAATTCTAGGGTGGCACATGCGACTCATCCAACTTTGGTGGAGTCAATCTGGTACCGTTGCCCATTGGAAACTGATCATAGCTGTTCTAATTTTTACCTGGAAACACACTGAAAGAAAGATCAGTTGGCTTCGACGGTGCCTCGATGCTTCCCAACTTCGACATGCCGCCGTTGCCAGGATTTCTCTTGGCTTTCTTCCAACCGCCACCACCACCGGAGCCGCCCCCACCCACGATCACCACCAGGGAATCACCAGCCTGGATGGCTCAAACTTGAAAAACCGGCCACGCAATTTCGTCATTTCTTGAAGACTTTAACATACAAACGTATCATCATTCGATATTTCGAGGAGATATTCAACATCAAACATGTTTAGTATTTCATTTCTAGATATTTGTTAAACATGTTCCTATGTTAACGTGTTTTTTTAACCATATCAAGCCCATATCATCATTAGATGGAACCATATCATCACTGGATATCAAGCAGATATACATTAATTCGATATAAATGAGATATTTCTGTATATATTTCTAGCATTATATATATATAAATTACATATACACACATATATATATATATATCGAATTTATATATATATAGTTTATCCCCATAAATATCCCCATATCTCTGTCCCATATTATTTATCCATCATTATCCCCATAAATTAGATGTTTTTTTTCCTACATTGCCCAGAGGGCCCGGCCTTCATCTTCAGCCCCTTCCCTTGGATGAGACCACCTGCACCACCTCCACCGGAACCACCACCTCCACCGCCTCCCACAATCCTGAGACATGGGGCGCCAAACTTGGGGATTTCAATGGATTTCAATGGATTTTATGGTTGATTTCCATTTCAATATTGATTTTAGATGTTTTCAATGATGTTAGAGTTGAAAATCTCAATATTTTCAACTTTCGATGTTTTTTGGCATTGATTTCTCTCAGTGCGGCACAAATATTCCAACTCCACCGACAGGTATTCCTTGCAGAAGGGCCCCGCTGCCAGGCAGTTGGGACCACTTATCTGACATTGGAGGAACTCACCTTCACCTCAAATTCAAAGAATTCAAAGAATTCAAAGAATCAACATGTATCAGCAATCAAACAATAATCAGCATGTGTCAAAGACCAGAATCTGACTTCACTGAAGGCCGGATGCCGGACGTTTCTGATGTTTCTGGTGTTTCTTTGGACTTGAGACTGTTTGAAAGTAAAGATGACTGCAGATCTTTCTTTGAACACACTGCAAAACAACCTCTGACAACATGCGATCTAGAGGTGACAACACATTCCGACATTTGAAGCACACAGCTGTGAAAAAAATCATGAAAGTCCTATGAAAGTCCAATAATGCACCCAAAAAGCACTTTTCCAGGGTCAAGGTACCGGTCGTAGTGTACTTGCCGTTGCACTCATCCAACGATTCGACGGAATCACAAATGAAATCTCCGCCCTTCAGCTTTGTTCCCACACATGGAGCTGGCAAGGTCTGCCTGTCGAACAGTGGCAATCAGTGGCACAGCGTTCCGTCCCAAAGTCTGAACAGTGGCAATCAGTGACTCAGTCTCTGTGATATTCTGTGATCGGACCACTCTGCGCCGTCCTCGATGCATTGATCTTGTGAGACCATTCCTGTCGCCGACATGGACATTTCAGCAGTTGCTAAAGCGTTAAAAGAAACACCTCTTTCAGCTGACATTCTGGAGTTCAAATTTGCCCATGTTCCTTCCTTTTTCACTTTTAAGTTTCTAAGGCAACTTATCCCGTCTTTTCTGCCTCCACAATGAGTCTGGTCTTCAATGCAAAGACAGGGCTCAACAGAGCTATCTGCAAGAGCAGCTTCATTCTTCTGCCTCAGCTGGAGCTGTCTACAACTTTACTCTTCGCCAGTCGTCCTGTTGCGTATGCGACAAGATAGGAAGCAAAATTTGTTATCAACATACGCAAAGCCATACACTTTCACATCTACAAGTATGTAACTATGTACATAATATGTATGTATGTATGTATATATGTATACACCTTTATTACATGTACATGCATGTACAAAGATTTGAGTTGAGAGATCCAAACTGCATTTGTTCCCTGCTTTTAACTTGCCGAAGAATGCCACATTTAAAGTCCCAGTGAAAGCACACATCTGCTATGCGGCTGAATGTATCCGCATCTGCTATCCGCATCTGCTGTTCTTTACAGGCCCAGCTTCTCTGGATGCTAAGTCAGGGACATCGCCGGCCCGCAGAAAGCAGGCGCGGCCGCAGCTTGAGAAACAGCAGGAAGGAGTCTTTTGACGGGCAGCCAGTGGCACACTGATGCCAAAGCAGACAACAAACGTCTTGATGTCAAGTCAGAATCTATTGAAAATGAAATCTTATTGATGGTTATGTCAACAGCATAAGAACGGCATGGCTGGGAACGACCCGGGTGGAGACGCGTAGGACGCACATACAGCTGAAGTCTGTGCATCTTTTTGTCTGTCACTTTGCCAGTCTGGTTGCTCACATTTCGCCCGGTTTGCAGCACCAATTCAGGCGATTCCTTCTCTCTTGTGGAGCGTGTCATGCCTGGTCGAAAGCCCATTGGAGAAGCTGTCTGCAAAGCAAGGAGTAAAGCTTCACAGTGTTCTGGGGGTGAAGTCACGCCCAACAGTAACAGCCAAAAGAAAAACAATCAGTTCCTGACCTTGAAGACATTGACAAATGTTATATCCAATGTGAACATGCTGAGATATTTTATCCGATTTCACTATATTAACATATAATTAACGATCTATTTTAAACGTTAAGATGTCAGACATAGAATGAAGACAGATAGATGTTTCTTCGTCTCGGCATGAAAACATCTCCAAGCCGGCCAAGCCTCGCTGGGAAAGCTGGCCCGACCTATGCTCTCTGTGCTCTCTGTGCATCGCTCTTGTGGCATCAGTTTCAACTTTTCTCTTGTGGCTTCAACCTTTAAACTTTAGCCGCTTTAGCCTTTGTCTTTGTGCTTTTGGCTTCTTCGGAATGCTAGTTTCCCTCTCTCCGAATCATCCGAAAGATATGTGCTTCAACTTGAAAACTTTCCCAGCCTCCCAGCATGTTGTTCTGCATATTTCCTTGGACATTCACCACAAGTGAGAAAGCTTTCCCAACTAACATGCTCGTATCGGTCCACTTGCCACACTGCGTGAGATGCTGTCAACTTCAACAGTTTGCCATCTCCCGCAAAATATAGAGAGTATATTTAAGTATATGTTGCAGTGCATGAACATCCTTGCAGTGTCTGTACTTTTGCCGATGCAAAGGATTGTCGATGTCTAAGCCCAAGAGCAATGCTGTACAGTTTCAAATGCATAACCTTTGCATAAAAGGACATCTAAAAGGACATCTAAAAGATCTAAAAGGACATCTGATGATATCACGCTTGTCCATCGTATTTCCAGGACCAAGCCTGAAGCTAAGCCTGTTCATCCATCATGTATCCAGGATCGAACCAGGTAATTGGCTTTGCCAAACAAATTCTGCACAGCACATGTTCAGATTGTCACATCATCTGCCACGGGAATCACGGGTTAGAGCCATCTCAAAGACAAGGACGTAGGCCCCAGTAGTTCCAGACAAAAGCTCCAGTTCAAATGGACCTTTGATTTCAGCTGAGTCATGCCTCTGCATGTCCTGGCCAGCTATCTTGCCGGAACCTTCGATGCACAAGAGATAAGCTTGTCTGTCTTTGCCAATGGACAAAGCTTTGGAAGCTACGTTTGGCGACAGCTCAGTCACGAAGACGTTGCAGTCTTGGTTGATCTTCACAGGTGTCGGCACAGAGCCAAGTTCATCCGAGACCTTTGGTCAGCGCAGCCAAGCAGCCCGTATGTTTCAGAATGGCTATCCTATGGCTGTCCTCTATTCATTTGATTTCGACTTTTTCGACTGCATTTTGAAGAGAAAATGAAGCTCTCTCGAATGGACTAAGAATTGACTAATTTGAATGAAGTTGACATTCAGTAGATTCTATCCTGTTTCAAATTTTCAAACCTTGTTCTGCCATACATTTGACCAAAGTGCCAAGTGTGCCCACTGGTCTCGGCGTGCAGCTGCTGCATCTGCATTCCCAACTGCTGAGCCATAGTTGGGCTTCAAACCACGAGAGCGTGGCACCTTGGAAACGGCTGACAAGTTTGAACCGTTTTGAACCACTGAAACCTCAGATTCTGGCTTCACTAAGCCATCGAGAAACTGAGAGAAATCATCAGTCAAATCACCAAACCCAGATCGTCTTTGCATTGTGACACTTCCAGTATCTTCCAGTGCACTTGCAAGGAACAACCCAGCACTGGATAAACCTCAGAGGTTCCTTCGCCAAGTTGTGCTCTGAGTGGTAAATGCCAGTTCCTCATCATGATCTACGGATCAGCTGACCAGCACGGCATTTTGGTCTGGAGAACATCATCCCACATTCATGGCACATCTGTGGCACATCCCTGGCCTGCCGTCATAAATTGAACACCTCCACGACCCAAGGTCTCTTCATTCCCATGGGAGTCCTACCAAAGCTGCCACTTTCAACAAGAAAACACTGGAAAACTCAGAGGTTTCACCAGAATTCAGCAGCAAATCATGTGTCAGATGATGTTAGATGATGTTAGATGTTAGATGTTAGATGTCGGATGGCCTTATGTGTCAAAAAACCATCCACGATGAAGGTCATGATCTCCATATCTCGATGTGGGTGTTCTCCGAATCCTGACGGGCAACGGTCTCTTGCGTCCCTCTGCCCTGTTCACTCATCCTACATCAAATACAAACGTCGATGCAAATTAAAGCTTCTTTGTACTAACTTATTTTTTTACATTTGAAGTACAAGTTTTGTGGTTGTTTGTATTTGGGTCTGTTTATGGAAACATGTCACCGATCTGACCAGGATCAAGATGAACACAAAACCCATTGCCCACCATGGCTCCTCGTTCACCCTGCACCAGGTCATCGTTCATCACCCGCAGAACACCAAAGGCGCCAGGCCCTTCACTGTACTCTGCAAAGTTGAAATGAAATCGAGACTTCAACCAGTTCTCGTTGGTCCATCCCTGGCACAAAATTGCTGAAAGTTGAAGTGATTTGACATCCAAAAACTTTGAATCTTTTGACTGCCGATCTTTGGAATTTGTCAAAAAAATCAAACCGATGAACCGATCTTCACCTGCGACTTGGTGTCCGAAGGATTCTGGGCATTGCCGAACCATCGAGGATCGGGCTCGCTGACCTCGGATTGGATCTTCATGGTGACCATTGGTGACATCCCGGTGACTTCCCGGGAAAACTTCGATGCTTTGACTAGCGAAAGCCAAAAAGCCAAACATGTGTAATGTCAACCTGGGATTAATCAACCCCGAACGGCGTTTTTTTTTTTTTTTAAATATGGGGGTTACCATTTCAGTAGCCATTTATCACTATTTGGGGGAACCACCACAATTAATCAACCAGGGTTTATTAATCCGGGTTGACATAACATCATGGAACTCTATAGTGCAGTAGAAAAAGTGCAATTCTTTGTTCAAAATCTGAGCAGGATTTAGTCATTAATAATATTTAATAATCATTAATACTCATTAATAGTCGTTAATAGACATGAATGGTCAATACTCATTAACAGTCATTAATCAATTTCATGAATTTTCCTGGATCCTATCTACCAAGCGGCGAAGAGGCGGCTCTCAGGGATCACTGCCACGGTTGACATGACGGGAGCTGAGGGGTGTTGAAACGCTGCAACGGTGTGACAATCAGGGCTTGAGCAGCGAAGTTGACAGGCAGACACTATGAAAAGATATGATGTACTTGGAGTTCATCATCGATGATGATGATGATGATGAAGAAGAAAATGAAGACACACATATATTATACAATGAAGAATTCACAGAATGATTTCAGGCAGCAAACGTTTGTTTTGTTGTTATTGCTGATATATCCAAAGCATTCTGAGATGCTCACCTTGCAGCAATGCTGGCACGAGCCTGTGATGCCGACAGTTCGATTCTAGTGCTTCACCAGCATTCCGATCCTTCCTGAAGAAGATCAACCTTCCAACCACGTCTGGTCATTTTTTTTTCCCGGTTTTTCGGTTTCCCCTTCCAGCCTGTGAGATCTTATCTCCAGCCAAATAACCTCGATGGAAACGCGAAGCTGGCCTGGTTGGGTTGAAGTCTACACAGTGTAACTGGAACTTTATTGAAACTGCACAAATAGTTTCTTGCTTAAGATTCGATTTTGTCAATATTTTGTAGTTTCTAGTTATTTCTGCCGACTCTCATGGGATGATGAAAGCACTCGCGAAGTTGAGAACTTCGCACACAACCAGATCAAAAACTCTCAGCAAAAACCTTGAAACAAAAAAACCATGTTAAGATCCCCCTAAGATCCCCCTAAGAATTTGCATCTTACGTTGGCTCCTAAAAAGGTCGTCCCAGCCTTGGAATGGGCACCTCCTCCTCATCCCAGTGTCTGCCATCACCTGGATTTTCTTTTCTGCTATAGGCTATATATATATAGGCTGTATAATAGTTATATAGCTTAATTATATAGATTAAATTAGCAATGCTCAACATTTGTGGGATCCCACTTTGCCTCCACGTGCTCTGTATCGCTCGGTTTGCCAGCCCTTGGTAGTGGTGTCGCCGGAAGCAACAAATCAAATCTTAGGTTTGCATAGTCAGATATTACGTACATTTACATGAAATTACACACATTTACATACATAATATCGATAATACATACAGTATGTATATATAATATGTTTACAATGGTTTACACAGACATCATGTACATGTTACATAGTTAATGAATGTTAATGAATGATAATGATATTCCAGGTTTCTGGTTGCAAGTTTCTGGGGGTCCTGTCACACATCATTTTCGCCATCTTTCGCCGACTGAAATCCTGTGGTTTCCGGGCGATTCGACTCCAACAGGGGCGCTCCGGTGGAGCATCACATGCCGCATTTCCCAAACCTGACGGGGTGAAGGGCGAACTTCTCAGGGATCTGATGATACAACCAAATTACAGTACCAGTCCTTTTCTATCTTCGTTTGGTTCACAAAAAATTGAAGATTTCAAATGCCAACTCGTGTGAGACCTGGATTTCGGACCCGCCTCGCTGAATGGGTTGTGGACTTGACCTCTGTCAGCTCTGTCAGCTCTGCAGCTCTGCTTTTCGCACCGAGGTTCTGAGCTTGGGACTGCCGTGATTTCCATGACCACTGCCGTGGTGGTGAAGGTTCTGAACCTTCCAGATCCCAAATCCAAATCCAAGCGTTGAGGGCTACAACCGATAGCGCGCTTCACAGTTGACAGTTGGTTCCATGAAACCATGCATCGCTCACCTCCAGGTGATCTGCGAGGCTTCTCCTTCTGCCTTAAACAAAAACCGTGGCAATGCCAAAACTTCTCTGCGGAACTAAGCTTAAAGTTTGATTATTCTGTTTTTTTCACTGGCAAACTACCCTCCAAATTTAACAAAGAAAACCATTGCCTTTCCAGGAAATTCATCTAAAAAATGAGGGATTTTCCATTTCCAGATTTGTTTCTCAGAGGGCTGTCAAGGTCCTCCCCCCGAGCACCGCGCACAGGCTTTGGAGTCGGCCGAAGTTTGGACTCCGAAGCTGCTCTGCACAGCACCTGACATGGCAGATACGGCTCCGGGGAACCTCCAAAATCCACCAGATCCATTTCCGTGAGACGAATGCAATCCATATCCGGGAAACCAAGTTTGAAACGGAACAAGTTTTGGATAAGAAACCTATCTGACAATGGCACACTTCCCATGTGCTGATCGCTGATCTGGCCTGTGTTGAAGGTTGGATGGGAACTGCCACTTCTCGTGCCGTCGGACCTTAAGAAATACTCTTTGGTGAGTCACCCATCGCCAGAATCAATGAATCAACATGAATTTTAGCCCAGTGAGGTTTATCATGGTTCATCATGGTTTATCATCCCAAACTTTTGGACGTTGAACGTAACCAGATCTGCAACGCCAACTTTGCTTCCACACTCTTTGGCCCAAGGTCACCTCGTGCATTCATTGAACCTGCGAGACTTAATCTATCTCGGGCTTGACATACTTTGCCATACTTTGCCACTTGACCACCATCCACTTCATCAACAACTTCATCAACTTCCAACATTTTCAGCTTTTCTCAGCATGCATCACCAAATCATCACCAAATCATCACGATGAACCCCAGCATCCTGACACTGGCACAGCCACCGAAGCTTCCCGCGGAGCTTCCCGCGGCAGCACCGGCAAGGAGGCTGCTCTCAGCAGCGGTGCAGGGCCAACCGGACCAACCAGGGTTTCACCTGACAATTTTCCAGTTGCGGGCGGATCAGGTCAACCATGGTACGGATGGTCACTGAACATTCCAGTATCCGATGCACAAACTATTGGTTGCAGAGCAATGAGATGTTGCTGCATCTTCTTCCCATCCAACTTTACCGCGCCATGTTGCATCCCAATCTGGTAACATCAAATACATCTAACCAATAGTCCAACCAATAGTCCAACCAACTCAAAAAATAACAGCCACTGACTTTTTCCCCACATTTTGCTAGTGACTCTTTGAGTTAGACTCTCATCCCCCATGGCACATTGGATCCAAGCAGCCCAGTTACTCATTAAACCCAGCTCTGCACCTGATCGGGTTCGAGAGATGCTTCGAGGTCTTGCCTTACATGGAGGCATCATTCCCATTCATTCCCATCCATTCCCCTACAACCATCAACAACCATCTACAACCAACATCCGATCATCTTGAGCTCCGATCTGCTGGATCTTCTCGGGGGTAAAAAACCTGCAGCGCAGAATCCCTCATGGCTCAACCGTAAAAGTGACAGGTGACAGGATGCTTTTGGGCATGGCTCAACTGGAAATCAATGGCACATGGCCATGACGGCGACCAGGAGTGTCAAGTCGCAACCTTGGCGAATCTGTGATGAATTGTACTTGGGTCTAATCTGATCTGTGGTAAACACAATAAACCTCAACAGGGGGATGTTAAAATTATTGGCTTCACCAAAAGGGATTGGCTTTTCACATTTTTCACTCTCTTCACTTGGCGGAACTGCACCAAGGGTCCCGCGTTGGCACACCAGCGGGTCTCTCTGTCATGTTGCGCTCTCTTTCATCAAATCAAACAGTAAACTCCAGAACTGCTGTGTAGCATTGAGAATTGGCAAAGGGTGACCGAACATCACCTGATTGTGCCAGCTGGGTTCAAACTGATTCATTCAAGATGATGCGAGCGCCGCTTCGAGCCCTTCCTCTTTCATCAGGAGACATTTGTTCCCTGCGTTGCAAGCGAACTCCGATCGTGACTGTCGTAACTGTCCAGCGTGTAGTCTGCCAGTCTTTTTCTCCGCGACTTATTCCTCCTTTCCTAATCTCCGAGAAACATCTAAATAGATACTGTGTGGCAAGGCTTCATAAGATGTGCCTTCAGCCGGCATGAAAAACAAAGAGCAATCAATGATCTTACAATTTTTTTCATCATTTTGAAAAATCTCCAAAATGCTCTACATCGCTATCTCTGGATATTCATCTGATATTCATCTGATATTCATCTGAAGCATCCTTTGCCATCCAAAAAACCGGATCCGCTCACTTCGTAGGAGGCATGTACGCAGCAGTGTACATGTGACGGCCCTTGCGGATGGGATTCGGCTTGTTGTCCTGCAGGGAACCGGTACCAACATTTGGATGCGAAAAATGAAGATCGCTGAACATTTACAGAAACTGTTCCACTTAAAAAACAAAAGATACTATAAGATACGAAAAGATACTTGGACTTCCTAAGACTTACTTTCAGATGAAATTCACCAATCTGGAAATCGCCTGGCGGTCGATGTAGTCGCCCGAGCTGCCGGCATCCAACAGGAAGTAGTTGCTGGCCTGAGAAATGGGACATTTGATGAGTATTTAGCAAAAAAATAAAAAGATGTCTATCCATCAATGTAGAAGTAAACACAGTGAGACACCGAATTTGGAGATTCCTTTGGTAAAGCGTTTTTGTGCATTGTGTAGCATGGTAAAATACGGTAAAATGTCATTTCCCTTCGAAACAACTTGGACATTGAGGTCAAAACTGCTGGGCTGTCCACTGGCGCAAAGCTAAAAGTCTTGGCATCTGGGTCATCCCGACCATACCTTCAAGCCACTAGAAATTCAAGCATCATAAGCATCATAACCATTCTCATAGCATTCTCATAGCATTCTCATAGCACCAATGGATTTCTCCAACTAGCAGCTACGCATGAAGGCTGTCCACATTAAAGTCTACCAAACACACAGTGTGTCCTGGTCTGTTCGATGCACTTTAGAATCTTTAGAACTCTTCCACACTTTCCGACGCTTTCCGAGCGACGGCATCATGCTGAAACGCCACGAAATTGGCCTGGCACGGTCGGTTTTGCCAAAAGTTAAGGCAACTGCCCACCATTGCGCGACGCATGCGTCACACATCTCAACCCGTTGTGAAAATGACTTCACTCCAGAAATCCCGTTTTGACGTTCAATTTCACCACAACTTTATGTAATCCGTCTAAATATCAGAATAGCTTAATAATACCTAATAGCAACCTTCCTGCTGGCCTAGGCTCGCCAGGTTCGCCGTCCCCAACTTCGAAGCCCTATGGCATCCTTGCAACTGAGGAACTTTGGGATCTCCTTCACTGGCAACTTTTCAGGATCCACCTGCAAGTGCTCACAGAGCCTCAGCACTGGTTTCATGGAAATGGCTAAGGGGGGCATGTGGAGCTGATGTCATCAGGCTGATGTTCCAAGGACGATCTAATCAGTGAAACCCAAGGAGAGACTCGGAGAGACTCGGAGAGACCGGAAACCTTGACCGCCCACCTTTCTGTGACAGCTCGATCTGGACGAGTGGCTTGTCGAAAGATCGGGCCTCTGTGGCGTCAGCCAGTGCCTGAGACTGATTTTGGAAGTCTTTGAAAGCCAAAGAACAGGAAGGAATCTTGAAGGAATCTAAGCAAGAATCTGTGCAGCCTAAACAATTCCTAAACAATTCCGAAACTTTCAAAGATTTTGAGACTCAAAAGACGTCTGGCCTCTTCCCACAAGTGGTTCAGCCTCTCCACATCATGGTCGTAATTGTGCTGCCGTGTGTGAACTTCCTGGTGCCGTTCGACGAGGCTTTCGTTTGTCAGCCATTTGCGCTCTGCAGATCCTTCTTTCAAACTTCATAGTTATGGGATCTTTCTTGAATCAAACCATCCCTTTTTTGCAGCTTCCGTAGACATTCGATGCACATTCGCATCCTCCGCATCCGACATGAAGAATCCCTTCTTCACCAACCTCGGGTTGGGCGAAATGTTGCATCGAAGGCTTCAAAGTAGCAAGGGCAAACGAAAGGAATTTTCTACGCGCACAACAAAACAAGCATCAGTAAACAAACGGCAACAAACAGTATGGCATGTAGATGTGATAACCAAACATACATGAAGCAATTTACACATGATGGCAGATGGATTGAGAAATTTCATCTGTCAAGGTGCTCATCACCCATGGCATACAAACGCATCTTCTCCAGGAACATCCAGGCCTTGACCGATCGATTTCTGTTTCCCGTTTGAATACCATTCTCGGCTCTGCGGGATTCTGTTCTGGTCTGAGGAATTGCTGAACAAACTGGGAACATTGGGATTCTTGGGGTTCTCTTCTGACTGTGCCTCTGTGCGAGAAGTCACGTACATGACCTCAGACTCAAGGGCGTGGGACCGAATTCTGCCGTTCTCCAATTACATCAGAATACATATGAAATCTCAACCAAATGCCACCAAAAAGCTGCAAGGTTGTAACCGATGAGGGCACCTGGCAAATGCGGAGAAAAATCTTTTAGAAACACATTCCCAGCTATGATCTCCAGCAGTTTTCGTTTTTTTTTCCACTGGTCATGTCCGTTCCATATCGTTTCATCGTTCCAGTTGCGTCAGTTCTGCTTCCATCGCCTATCAGGCCCAGCACTTTGTAGCCGAAACCCGGAAGATGGGCATCCAGATTGGCCTTGGCATGATTTGATGCCGGGAACTTGGGGAACTTGGGGAACTGGACATGGGGAATCCATGGAATAAATTTGAAGATGTTCAGGCTGTTAAGGTGTTGATGTTAAAGTGTTGTTGGTTTCACAGGATTCTTGTCACCAAATCTACGTCATGGGTGCGTCCGTGAATGGGGACTAAAACCGACCACAATGGACACATCCACGGTCTGTTTTGGTGCCGGACAGAAATCGGCGACCAAACTGCAGTTCCGGTGGCCGTCAGTGTGCTATAGACCTCAGGGCCCCACTGGTAGCTGTGACTGTTTCTAAATGCCATTGTCCCACACCCCATGACCCCATGATGTCTTTGCCACAAAATGATTCTATGAGAGCCATCTAGGATGCTTTGATGTTTGGCCATGTCTCACGCATCCCAGCCCAATTCGGGCACGTCCCAGCATTAAACCATCTACCTTTGTGCAGTCGATGATTTTGAGAGTTTTGAACCAAGCCGATATCTCAAATGGAGTCATCTGAAAATAGGGTACCACACAATTTAATGTTTGTCATCATTTTCCCTCCTGATATTGGAGGTAATACCCCGGTTTCAGGTTGACACAGTAATGTTAGTGACTTGCTTATATTTCGATATCCCACCAAATATTGCGATGAATATCGCATGAAACCCACATGGGACCCACATTTTCCATGCTTAAAACTGGAAATCCCAACTTATCATGATGAAGTCCCATTAGATCCCGATTTCTCAACGGTTGGAATGCCATCAAAAAAACCCATTTGTTCATGGTTAAATCCTCCGAAATCCTCCGAAATCTTCCCCCGTATTCCCGGTCTAAGTTCCAACGTCTCCAATGACGCGTTCCATCGCTGGACGGCGGGCTCGAAGCCACATGGTAATTGGCGCCTTGGGAAAGCTGTCCAGTGATGGCAGGTTGAGAACATATAAAAGAATCATTGAACTTTTGATTGTACGTTTTCCATATATGATTACATACTTATGGTTACTTGGTTACTGATTAAGAACAATTATGAACCAATGATAATGCAACTACCCAATTGCACCATACATGGGTTGATTGGCGATTTAACCTTAGAACATGGCGATTCTATGGGATTTACAATGTGGATATCTTAAGGGATGGGATATATAACCACCTGTCCCGAGTATGGGTGTGGAAAATGCAGCAGATTTACACCAAGTTTATGCCGGGAAAATGATGATAAACTATGGATTTTAGGGGGCCGCCCATTTTCAAATAAATGCTAATCGGCATAGATGTCAACCCCTAAAATGAAGCAACATAAATGCATTAAATTGAAAATTTGAACCAAACTCTGCGAACACTTTGAAAAACACTGTGGGTATGTCGTAAACCGATATGTCTGATGTTTGGGGCCCCGAAATCCCATGGTTTGTCGTCATTTCAGCAAACTTCATGGCGTTTTTCAGGTTTCCTGACAAACCCGTTTATACACACATTTACATACATGTATATCTATATGTGTATATATATATATGTATATACGTATATAAAAAACATATATTCATATGTATCTTGGCTGGTGATTGGATATTTTCTGGTCTCGACAAATAAACATGTGTGCCAGGGACTAAGAGTTAACAACCTTTAAATGTACAATAAATCACAGCAGGATCATTGGACATGAGTGTAATCAATGAAAGAACTCCTGATGCTTCAGCGAGTTTCAGCACACAACTGTCGCTACAGTATGCTACAATATCATTTCGACAGAAACTTCTCTCTAGTCAAAGTCTCTGACGCTACAGAGAAATGGCTGCTTGAAACACCAGAACACCTCCAATCCAGCCACATAGCAATGGCATAGCTATGGCATAGCTATGCTGCCTTCATCTTTGAGGTCCAAACATAATTCCAATGGCCGATGTTGAAGTGCTTGTCTGGGATGGATGGCTGATAGGTATACTTGTGATAATCCGCCTGGCACACGTGGTCAATCCAGTCCGTGGGCAGATGTGTATGACAAAAAGAACAACATACACATGTCTTTCTTACATCGAATCAATCATTCTCAACCAGTAGTATTCATCAATCCATCAACCAATTTTCCAATTGATAGATGATTTGCAGTTGTCGATTTCAATCAGAAATGTTGGCGGGGTAAATTCAATGACATAAACCTTCATAAAAAACATCTAAACATCAAACATTTCGGACACATTCCTGGGTTCTCACAACATCCCTGGGTTTCTTATCGTTTCTTCTCATCCGTTTCGTTTCCATTTGGGGATTTCTTAAAATGAGCCCCAAGACTTTCCAATACTGAAATATCTCCAAAATATACATCCAAGTGGTCATATTTTATACTAAAAATGGTCATTTTTATGGGGTATTCCATGGTTTTCCGGAAACCTGGTCCCATTTTAGGATACCTCCGGTGAACTCTGGCCTCTGGCAAAGTCCACCGAGGCTTAGCATCATCTGCTCCCCCTGCACGAAGCAGCCGCGTCAAGCGGAAGCGCAAGGGACGAGCCTGTTGACACGTGCACCGAATGCGGCAGGACAGGATTTCGCAACAGTTGGTGTTGATAATATGTTGATATGTTGATATGTTGATATCGTATCATGATGTATCGTGGATGTATGTTGGGGCAGTTGGGGCTGGGATAAGCACAAAAATGGAATATCAATGGCGTACAGAATATCAACAGGACATCATAATATACACATGGAATGTGAATGGAAACTAGAACGAAAATCAAAAAGGCCCTACCAATCACAATGAATCACGGGAGATTCATGGACACCAGGCGATACCACCACAGATTCCCATCGATTCTAAAGGTCTGAGGCCGGAACGACACGGAGAGCCATCTTGGGCGCAAGGCGAGCAAAATGCGCGCCGTCTTTGATAGCTGAGAAACACGAGAAACACGTCACCAAGCGGTTGACAACTGCCCGAAAAAAACTTGGACATCCTTCTGATTATTGGAAGAAATGTGACACAAAGAACAACATGAGCCTTGGAAGATCACCATTGGACAGTCTGAGACTCTGAGAACTGTTTGTTTGTGTTTCTAACTTTGTTTGTGCTCCAGTGCTGTGAAACTGTCTTCGCATCACATGGCCCTTCGATTTTCTCAGCGTCTCTGCAGCAGTTGCCAGCATTGCACCATATTGCACCCACGTCCGCCTCTGCAACGGGTTGGGACCATTTGGGTGTGTCCAAGCATGGAAGGGCCCAAGCGTCGCTTTCACCAGAGACCCAAAGCTGAATCATAGCTGTCTCAAATTTCCTCAAGAATCACACCATCCTCCACCATCCCACCTGCTGTCTACCATAGAATTGCCATAGAACATCGATGCCGCGGCCCTGGGTCGCTGTGGAGCCAAGGGGGAGGGGAGGTCATTCTGCTCCAATCCCCAAAAAACAGGGCTAAAACAAAAATGTGGTGTCAATACTGTTGGAAATACCAGAAATGCCTAATTTTTTTTTCTTGGTGGGCCCTTTGATACCTGTACTTGATTGTAGGTTGCCTTACGGCCCTGCAAAAACTCTGACACAGCTCTAAGTGACTGGTGCGCAACCCTAGTTTACCCACCTAAGCGATTCGCTTGACGTGGCCATGGAAGGGCACGAAGCACGGTCAAACACTGTCTGCAAACATGTCTGGCACATCCGATACTAGTTCCCCACCCTTAGTCAAGCAACCCAAATCAAGAGCGCCTTCAATGTCGGAAAGGCCCTGGATCCTGCAAAATCAGAGCCCAAATGCGATTTTCGAGTTCAAATAGTTGAGTTGAAGCAAAAATTCCATGAGCTCAAGTGACCCCCCAGGCTCCACGACTCTCGGATGGTCTCAAGAAATATCCCAGCCTTGCGGGTCTGTCAGTTCTTGGTTGTGGGCTGCCCCAGGCCCTAGGTACCCCCAGGTATGGTTCCGCAAAACCCCTGTCCTCAGTCTCAGTCATCGGCGCAACTTGTGCCATCCACTTGGTGGGTCTGGTTCATCCATCGAGAGTAATGTGCTGGACTTGCGTCTGACATGCGGTGGTGCAAAGGCACAGGGCATGACGCATGTTCAGTACTGTCTGCAAACATGCGTAACATGCGTAGCACATGAAGTTTCTTCTCCAGGGGCCTTAAAAGATCTTTGTTGAAACCAGCCGGAATATGGCCCTGCATCCTTCCCCGCCCTCTGTGCCTCGAGGTATAGGCAAAGGCCCCGGATCCGGGCAAGCCTGGCAAGTCTCTTCCATGAAACCCCTCGGAGAGCCTCAGCAAATTACAAAAATGGAGGATTTTTTGAAAATAACTGAGTCAATCGGCAAGCCTGGCATGTTGGAGAGCATTTCCAAGTTGATGCTTGTTTTTTTTGCTCTAAGATAGTGAAGACCAATAAATTGAACATGCTCGTGCATTTTCCGTGCTTTGTTTATAAAGCCGACTTTTTGCATAAACATGCTGAAAGAAGGCAACCTTCGTCCATTCCAAATACCTCACATATCGTGAAAAGCTGAAGACACATTTGAAACCAATTTAAGAACTTTAAAAAAGAAGGACGTGTTTGCGCAAAGAATATTGATTGCTCTTTTACTTTTGCAAATGGACAAAGAATGTAAGGGACTCCTCAACACTCCAGTCGCATGCCGCATACTAACTATGATAACGCCAGCCAGCTTGAACGTTTGCTGGACTGGAACTGGAAAGAGACACTTGCTAAATGGACAACAATGGACAACACACACGTCTTAGTTTGAGATGAGGTCTTTTAAAGATATCGGTTGAAAGATCTTGGATCTGAGATGTTTACAGCTTCACAACATCAGAGAGCACGTTGAGCGACAGCTCTGGAGTAGTCAGTGTCATTCACGTCAACATGCTTTCACATTGTATAGATAGGCCTTCTATATCTTTTCTATCCTTTTCATATTAAGACCTCTAGAGAGGCAGTGAATACGGCCAACATCTTTTGAAACCAAATGGAACGATGACTGGCCAAAACTGCCGCGTAAATTTTCTAGCCATGACTAGCCATGGCAGCACCAGCTCTGCGCCTCTCACCGAGCCATGCCATACTCTGCACCGCGCAGGAATTCTGTCACGTTTCCTCAGAGCTCTCTGCCCGTGTGCAGGTTCACCATCTTCACCTCTCAAACCTAGCCTTGCCTTGTTCAAACATGTTCAAACAACGATCCATCTGATGTGAACTTCCCCCTTTTGCCTTCCAGAGGACAATTTTCAGCCAATGTTTATTTGAATGGAACTTACCAATTGTGCCCTTTGTGCCCGTCGGGAAACCATCAGCGACTGTGACCAAGCACTCCTGGAAACACGGGGCAGCGCTTCATACGCCAGGATGGCAAAGAATTCCGATTCCGAATGGATTCCCTTAGTGATGTTATTTCCCATTCTTTTTTTCTTCATTCCATTTTTTCCCATTATTTCAATTATTTCGTTATTTGTTTTATCATTTTTTCTTTACTTTTTCTTCCGTTTTTAAGTAACCTGCCGTCCACAACCGTCTCCTGATGCCGTCCGCTGATGTAGAGCCGCTGCAACTGCGACCGAGGTAGAAACGCTGCAGCGGCAGTGCCGAGGAAAAACCTGCAGATGGCGCGAATGCCACATCGATCCATCATCGATCCATCTGATATGATATCTGTGACACTAGATAAATTTGTGTTGTAGCTGAATCTAAACTCTGAATATCAACATGGTATCAATATGTGTATCATTGTATAATATTATTCTATATCGAATTATTCCTCTTCGAAGATGCCAAGAAACACGAACATGGATTTTCTCCAAACATTGAAAGCCAAAAAGTCGGCTGGCAACTGGCTACAGTGTGATCAACTTACGGAAGTTAACACTTCGATCCATTTTGTATTTGGAATAGAAAGCAGAATGGCCACAACGTTTTAAAAGTATTTTCGAACCTCCAAAATACAAGTAAAACTGTTCAAAATACATAAAATCTGTTGATTCATGCTGATTCCTTAATATTTTTTAGCCCACACGACGCACCAAGAAACTGATTACTCCAGCCATGGTTCTCGAATCCTGAACGCACTCGGAGAATGCAGCAGCACGGTGCACTGGGCATTTTGACATATTTCGATACAACATGATACAACCATTCCGAAGATTCCGAAGCTATCATGTTGAATTCCTGGCAGCTCCTTGGCTCCCCATTTTATGGATACCTCCAAACCGCTCCGAAAACATCGCAAGATCCAGCCCCAAATGTCCGACCTTTCTTCTCGTCCATGAAAGTGAAGAAAGACTGGTACAAGGGCTCCCGAAAAAATTGCACGTCACCACCGAACAAGCAGCCATACCTTTGCGTGGCGTCGGGAGATATCCAAATAGGATCGATATGAAGCCGTTGAAACTGAAACATCTCTAGATGTGCCATTACAAATACCCCTGTCCCATGTCATTCTAGTTGGTTAACAGATTTCCCTGCGGGTTATCATGGGTTATCGTAATCCTATTCAACCAGGTAGTATAATCCCCTATAACCAATCCACCATGGTATTTTCTATTATAGGGGATTATACTACCTGGTGATTTTTGGGGGGATTGTACTTCCAATAGATACTGAGAGTCCCCTATAATATCCCTATAACTCAGATGACTTTGAGATCGGAACTGGAGGAATCACCTAGATCGCCTCTTTGGACAGCCCGGCGTCTATAAAGCGCACCACGACCGTTTTCTGGTCATCAGGTCAAGCTCAGATTAGTAAAGCCTGACGATTGGGGAGTTATCCCCCAAGTAGTGATTATGGTACCTTCAATTGCTGAAATTATATGAAATTATGGTACCTTCATGTACTTAGTTACCGTACCCTGAATCGAATTTTCGAAGCGCAGCAAAATCCTGGAGCAGCCAAGAGACAACACCGTGGATGCCTCGTTCGCCGCTGGCACAGTCCATAAGGGGATCCCAGCTTCATTGGCTTTCTGTTCAAAGCGACCACGGGCGTAGAAGCGAGAATTTCGAATGGCTAACTCTTCAGCCTCGACTGAAAAACCACTTTGGTCTATGGGTCACTGCACTTTGGGACTTTCAGGGAACTGAATTTGGAACAAAGAAAGGCAAACGTTGACTTTCAAAGCGTTTCAACATTTTCAAAAAGCATGCTCCATCTCTACGAACAGTGTGACAAAATCTGAAGAATACCAAATCCGCAAATACGTAATAATACTTAATACAATCATGAACCATGGGCATTGGATGACATTACCATAGAGCAACAACCTGCTGTAGAATACTGGCTTCCCCTGTGATTCAAGGCATCCCTTGCGATACCCGAGCATGGCTGGGACGCTGGTGGCGCAACCAACCAGCATGGGACACGCTGCAATATTGCTATCAAAATTAGAGATTCCCGACCCAGAGCGACCCAGAGTCTTGCTGATCATCTTTAGTACATAGTACCAACATGTACCAACATGTACCAACTATATTCTTCTCAGCAAATACAAGAACTACAAGTCTGCAACAAGCTCTGATGTTTTTGCATGTGTGAGATGTGTGACATGTGTGACCGGTCCCAGCCTCCAGAAAATCCAATGCTGCTTCAATATAGCCTGTTTGACGTTGACCCTGTACATGCATCTGCCACCAGGTCAAGCGAACTCCTTCATCTCGCATCTTCTTCAAAGGATTGTCTTCAACAGGTGCTGTAAAGAAGAAGTCCGTATCAATCTTAATGAATTGATTGCAAGAATCCAACTGTGGATGTTGAAACAGTGGCCCAGCAGTATATCTCGAGATTCTCAGATAGGCAGGTGACCAAAACTGTGTTCGATTCACGTTTCCTCGATGGAAATTCTCGGGCAACTCTTCGCCTGAGACACAATATGCACCATCTTGACAGCTGTAGGAATTCATTTCTCGCGTCAGTTCTTCCTGTGGAATGATGGCAGGTACCACTTCCAACGTGGTGTATGGTCGAACATCGGAATCCAAGAAATCTGCAGTTTCTTGGTCAACAAAGACCACCATCCGGGGACGTTCATGAAGCTCCAAGGGACTCACAAAATATTTCTCCAGGCTGCGAAGGGCTTCCCGTGTATCTTGCCGGATTTCATCTGTGGGAAATGTGTAAATCAGAATCAAACAGCCTTGCCCATCTGCTGTCTCTGCTGTCTCTGCTGTCTCTGTCTGATGGTGTACTTGGTTCAGCTTTCGACTTATCTCATGCAGCAGTTTCGGGACCTTCCATTCGTGACTCAACAATCTTTCCAGCAATGGTGGCAATGATCCCTTAGATCCCTTCTCAGAATCGTCAGCGCTTCCCCTCTCCGTCTCTTCCCTCAAAAGCGTTTCGGCTTTCTTTAGAAGCCCCTGCGCTTCCTCTGTCAGCCTTGAGAATTTCAGAAGTCGCTCACTGTGGGTCAAGAGAAACGACAAGGACGCGACTGCCCGTCCGGTAAAGCAGCTGCCAATCTGCCCAGATCCTGCAGCATCACACGCAGCTGGTCGCCTTATATTATGATTTGATAATAGAATTTATGATCTAACGGATAAAAATAGGATGATCAAACAGGTCCATTCGGTCTTTTCCCAAGTTGCTGATTGATGAATATCCGCAAAACCCACATCCATCCCAACCCCAGCCCGGCCTTCTTTGGCCGCTTGTTTGGTCAAAAAGTCGACCGCTGCCATGGCCGGCAGCTGTGGAGTTCCGGATGTTCCCAGGTGGTGCTGCAGCACGGCTTGAAACTGCCGGCCGTGCACCCAGCAGTCAGCTGCACCCCAGATGCCCTGCTCTGATAACCAATCCAAAGCACCAAACAAGGGGAAGTCCGAGCGGATCAAGGTTGACAACGCCGCAGATGGCAAAATGTCAAAGATATCTTGAAGGACATCCTGGAAAAACATCAGGTACTCATCACTGGGTTGCAATGCCCCAAAGATGGCCAAAGCTGTGGCAGTTCCCAGCATACAACCAGATTCCATCTCCACCAGTTGTTGCAAAGCCGGTAGATCTGATGGATTCAAAGTCCTGCTTTCAACGGCTTCCCACATGGCACCCTGTACATCTTTCCAGGCATCGCAAGAGCCCAAATGATCCACATCACTAGCACAACAGAAAGTGATGAGAACGGCAACGCCTTTCCACATTCCGAATCTCGTGAAGGAAAACTACTTGAGCAGGGACGGCTCAAGCGGTGCTTCAACCGTTGCGGAGCTGAAACTGCCCTGGGAGGATTGGAAGAGAATCTTGTTGCAGCTACTTCGCAATTTGCGCATCTGCTGCGATGTAGAGTTTTCAATGGCATTGCAATCTGAAAACATACGTTATCATATGTTATCCCACCCTCGTAGTTTTAGATTTCTGGAGGGCCTTGCCCTGTTTTCTTCTGCCATGTCCCTCTGAACTCTCTGCAGGACAATCCTTGGTTACATTTACCCTCTATCACTCATGGCGTGGAAAATCAATGATTGCCATGGGATTTCCCATTGTTATGTTTGATCGCTGGGTTTCTCCATCCACCCGGGCTGCGCCGCTGGTATTTTGGCAATTTTTTCCATGCACGGCGGCACCTCCCACACGAATGGGGGCCGTGGTGAAAATGGATGGCAGCAACACGTGCCTCGCACGGAGCAATGCTGATAAGCCATCACCACATAGAACCCTAAATTTAAGACCAATGAGTTCAGCTTTTTCCAAAAAAAATACTGGGTGTGAAAGTTGGCAAGGAAAAAGCACAAAAAATCTGGCCTTTGGTTTGTGTGTTCTGGTTTGAGTGCATGTGAGTGACCAGCCAAAAAAAATCAGCTCCTTCACACCTTGAAGTCATACAAACATCTGACCGATGCATGGGTTAAGATTGGGGATTTACCACCAAAGAAGTGCCCTGGGATATTTCCGGCTCATGTCATGGGATTCCTCAGTTTCCTCAGTTTCCTCAGATCTTTGGGACTGAAGTTGGGATTTAAACGTTGGTCACTCGACCCAAGCCCGAGGTCCCAGCTGTGCTATGCTTCTTGGAGCTCTCCAGACCTGATGGGAAGTGTTTCAGAATGTTACCCTTGAACGATGTTGAACCATGAAGGGAAGCCGCGCCTGGCAATTTGCGCCAGCTGTCCCGAAGCATCGCTGATCAAATCAGCGAAGCGGCCTGAATTGATCTGAAAATCTCCAGGATTGTGGGGTGATGTCACAAGATTATGTGAAGTGAATTCTTTCAGAAACCATTTTTGGTGGTACCCAATAGCTGCACCTGGTCATTAGAGCACCAATTGGGGACAGGAGATGGTCCAATGGTCCAACACCACAGTGGACATGCAGTGGATACGGAACATATGGAACATCTATTGAATCTATTATGATTCATAAATGATTAGTGAACAATAATGATATCAATTGATATTGATATTATGATATTATGATTAGTGATATTATGATATCAATTGAATCTATTATGATATTATTGAATCTATTGACACTATTGAATCTATGAAGACCACTGAGGCCCCCAACCCCGCTGTACAACTTGACCTTTAGAGACCACTGCCACAGTGTCGCAGCTCCTGAACAGTGACATGAGTTGCCATAAGGTACCTAAAAACGATCCTTTATCCGATTGTGGTAAACCCAATCATTCTACCATTTCATACTATTTAAGTGATGATTTTGAGATGTTTTTTTTTACCATCTATATACCATCTATGGTAATGCGAGGCTGGTCCTGATTAATGCCAAGCTGTGTGTGGCAATCAAAGTCGTCGGTCGAGATGTTCGGCCCAAAACCGCCTCAAAGGTCAACCAAGTGGAGACCAAAAAATGCTACGACATCTGCGGCTGGAGGGTTCCCAACTCTTCACATTTTTGTTTTCGCAAAAAAAGATGCAAAACAACAGCCGGACTCGGACTGGTTGGTGAATTATTTTCAGCCCCTTAACAAAAATCATGCTGCTTTCAATCATCATCCCGTTCTCTTGAATAAACTGGTAATCTTTCAAATCAAGAGTTGTTGACATACCGACATACTCAATGTACTGCCATTTTGATCCATTTTTGGTACTTAACTGCTACTTATAGCAGCCTTTTTGTTGCTCAAAACCCTGCCTCTGCCAGGCTGGCCGCAGTGTTTGCATCCAACCCCGACGTTGGTTCGTCCAAGAGCAGCACAGGAGCATCGCGAATCAGCGCACGTGCCAATGCTACACGTTGTCTCTCACCCCCAGACCTATGGCTGAGAGCTGAGGGGATCTGAGGGATTGCCAAGTTCGCCACCAATCCATTGGTTTGTTAACGTTTGTTCACTTTTGTTAACTTCAGCATCTCCCCAAAAAAAGAAAAACATGATCCCTTTTGTTAACTTCGGATCAATATGGATCAATGGTTTTTGAATCTGACTTGCACGAATTCCCCGACAGGATTTGCGTTCGACCCTTTTGGGATTACCCCAATCTTAACAGTAACTAACATAACAGAGACTACAGAAGCATAACTGATAGTAGCTACTAGTCATGTGGCTAAAACAACCAAATTAACCATGCCCCAGTCATCACCATTTTTATGGTATGTAGAAACCATTCCCAGTCATTTTTGTGGTTTATGACATTTATATACATTTATATACATTTATGACGTTTATGACATTGTTTTACCCACATTTTTTGTCACTTCGTTCTACCCATTGTAAGTGTACCCATCCTTCCATTGCTGGTCATTTTTCTCAGCTTCCCAGCAACAACTCACCGCCGCGGCCGACGGGAGCATCGTAACCCTGTGGCCTGGTGACCCAACCCGCGTGGCGAATTTTCGATGTTTGGATGTTTTCATCTAAAAATATCGAGAAACATGGAGAAATTGTATTGAATTCATCCAATTTATCACAAAGTAGAGACATCGCATCTCTAAACTACATAAAATTTTGACGGTTTGGAGGGATGTTGTGTTTTGCATGTTTTGCACACAACACGTCCAGTGTGATGCCTCGACTTCACGAAGCTATGAGCTGAAGCAGCTTTCGCTGCATCCTGGGAATTGGAGGTTGAGATCACTGAGTTTTCTGCCTGTGGAAAACCTGGACACCACCACTCGAAATCTGTAGATCATTGGCTTAAATCTCCATATCCATTCTTGTCCCGACGAGTGGTGGTAATCTCCATTCTTGTCACTACTGGTAGATGTATGCTTACATTTTTGCTGCACAACTGAATCACCAAGCATTCAACCTTCCCTTGGTGCAATACTTGCCAACATAAACCCGGCCTCAACGCTCTCAGCAGAGACAGGATTGCTCTTAGCTCCAAACCTTAGTAGCTTCAGCAGGAATTTACCAACAAAATCCGGGCTTCATCTTTTCAAGTGCCAGAAAAAATCGGGACATTGCTCAACTGCTTCACAAGGATCATCTTGGACAAAGTTTTCGAGGTGACAAACGCATCAACCAAAAAGTTGATGCAGAGAACTTCAAAAGGCCCAAACTGCGTCAAAAGGACACTTTTCAGAAAAGAACCATTTCTGCAAGAAACATCAAAAACCAACCTTCCGCACTAAAAATAACCCCACTATTGTAGTTGGTTGTATATTCCATAACATTCCCATTAATATCTATTATTTGATATCACACAAACATACTGTTTTTGGTGGTTAAATCGATCTTTTGACAATGGCACATATGAGCAGTATCATCCCCGAACTAATAATAATCAACCACCATTTATCCAATATCCACCAAAAGAACCCATATTTTGATGGTTAAAACCCTGCTACATGACTGTACTCATCAACCAACATTCATTCACTAGATGACTACATCGGCAGATTTTAGTGCTTAAAAGCCATCTGTTTGATGGTTACAAAACCCTAGAAATGATGGTTAAATCCCTTATGAAATCCTCAAAATCATCAACATTCACCAGGGAAATCATCGCAGCTAACATAGGTATGTGGTGGAACACCCACCATGAATCATTTGATCATTTTCGTAGGCTAACATCCATGGATTACATCCATCTATCATTGATGACTTACACCATCTTAGATCATCTTATATCCCCAGATTTTGATGTTTAAGAACCATGTTAAATGATTCTCATCAACATTTACATACATTGACTATATCCCCAGATTTTCATGGTGAACACCTTTTTTTTGGCCTATTACATCTCCATATTGTCCATATTTTCATGGTGAAAACTGGTTAAAACCGCTATAAAAACACCCAACCGATGCCTTAGGTTCGGGCTTGATGGCCTCCGTCACGGAGCTTCCCAGTAAGGCGGCGGCCTGGGGAGCGACCTCGGAAAACCGCCTTTGCTCCTGGTCGATATCTATATGATATATATATATATACATTATAGATAAATTATATAGGTATATGATGATTATCCATATATATATATATCTATATCTATATATATATCTCTATATATATCTATATATCTCTATATATATATGATATATAGGCTATATATAGGTATATATATATGATTATATATATATAGACATGTATATAGTATGTACTTACAAGTACATATCAATATACAACATAAAAGCATACAACTCACACTACTCTGACACTATTTTTAGATTTCGTCACATTGCCGGGTGGTTTGTTTGGAACCGAGTGCCCCACCGAGACCATGTGCCGAAGTTCCTTCAGGGACAGCGTCCCGACGTTGCTCCCTCCGATGCAAACCTCGCCCGAGGAGATGTGGAAGTCACCCAGGAGAAGACGCAACGCCGTGGTCCTGAGATTGCGACAAAAAACATAGCATGAGCTTGATATGAAAATTCACGAACATGAATATGTATGATATGAATATGAATATATGAATATATGATATGGGCTTCAAGCTATTGTGGATGAACAATGGCAGAATTATAGAGTTTTTTCTGACTTTAATGGACATGTCCTGAACGCAATTCAATATTGCTCCGCAAAAAACGTGATCCACTAAGGGCCACACTTGCCACAGCCGGAAGCACCCACTAAGGCACAAGTCCTGAAATCACACCCGACAGGCAGCTTTCACCAGCTGGTAGTATTCACCAGGTAAGACATCCAGGGGCCCTGCTCACCAGCTGCAAGCTGAAGTGAAAAACCTCAGGCAAAACGGCAAAACGCATCAGCAGCTCCTAACTTTTCATCTTTCAAACGCGACACTTACGACACTTACCGTTGATGTCTCAAGATGTCTCAAGGTTACATTAAAGAAGAACATAGAACAAAATCATCGAAAATCACTGTTTGAGTGGCTCTGTTCCATGTTCCATGAGATGGCCCGAATTGGAGGTTCTCCGCGCCTTGCAGCACTTCCTGGTCGGAATACCTGGGCCATTTTTTGCCACACAGGGTATCTCAACTCATTTCTGCACGCAGATTGAAAGAATCGGAGCCGGAGCCTGAAGTGTACGTTCTTGAAGTTGATGGGTAAAGCTCTTTCCCCCTGCAGCAACGTCGAAGTCTCTGCGGTATTCGCCTCGATTGTTCCATGTTTTGGCTAGCGGCGCTGTTAGCGACCCCATAGGAAAACGCGGAAAACGCATGAAAACGCTATTTTTGTGTTTACTACTGGATTTAGTTTCTTGGGGTTTCGGGTATCCTACAAATCTAGAACATGCTACGTCTCTCTCTCTTGTTTGCACTAGCTTCCTACAGGAGATGATGCTACGCTACGACACGTTAACAGGAATACTTTTCTTACGGTCGTTGATGTTATCCATCATGTATGGCTGGTTCAGTCACCCAAAGAACCTCATGAAAGACCTGGTCAAGATGGCTAACAAGAGACGATGAAGATGAGAAAAAAGAGGCTTTGGTGGGAAAGCGCTCTGGAATCACATTATTAAAAAAAACACGTTTTGAAATGCAGAATTCCTATGGTCCAAAAAAAAAGGAGCTCCCCCTCTTGCAAATACCAATGATGGACCAAGGTGCAAATCTCCCAGGGTCGCGATTGGCGCCAGTACCATGTTTTGTGTAGGCCCCAGGCGTCATCGATTGGGGTCCATTTATTGATACCTTTCGGGGTTGATCCAAAAATAAGGTATCCAACTCCATCCAACTCCACTATTTCATCTTCATAACCCCCTAAAATAGCCATGAACATGGCCATGAATTGGGTTTCTCTGCTTTTTTTTTCAGATGGAAACATCCTGAGAATCAGACCTTGGCCTTTGCAGCTTTGGTGCTGTTGCTCAGGCGCATGGCTGCAGCTCGTGCCGCCACGATCTCGGGCACTAATCCCACTAAGCCATAGAGCCCCAGTCCTTGGCAGTTCAGCAACAATTCATGAAAAGATATGACATGTATTTCACATGTATTTCACCCACGAAAACCAGATTCTCAGATGTGCTAAAGCTCATACAGCTAAAGCCTAAACCATCCCAGGCATATCACTATAAAATCTGCAAAAGTGGCTGGCTTTACCGAGGCGCCAAGAAAGGTGGCGTGGAAAAAGTAGGATGTGAGCTGACCAGCAGTGAGCTCACCCCCTGCCGCAGCCGGATTCCCAATGGGGAAGAAAAACCACCAAACTAATCAACCAACCATCAGATTATATATGATTAGTATATATATATAAGATTATATATCCAATTATATCAGATTAGAAACCATATATTTATCAGATTATATATCATTATATCCAATTATATCCACCTATCTCCCCAGATTTTGATGGTTAAAACCCTATTACATGACTGTAATCATCAACCAACATTTATTCACTAGATCACTATATCAGCAAATTTTAGTGCTTAAAAACCATCTGTTTGATGGTTAAAATCATGTTCATCAACCAACAAACATTTTCTTCAATGATCTTCCCATATGTTTGATGCTTACAAAACCCATCAAAACCCTATCTGTTTGATGGTTAAATCCCCGGGATTTTACCCCCTTGAACAAACTCCGCTGAGGCCCCGGCGGGCCACCAGCTGACTGCCCAGGGATGATAGGCCCAGGAGTACTCCTTTGGATGCCCAATCGAGGACCTCACCGGCTAAGTCGGCTAAGTGTCCATGACTTGGAAAAAGCAGCAGTTTTGTTGTGAAATTATTGGGAAACATCACCAGCAGCAGTTTTTTTCGGACCCCAAAATGATGGGAAAAAAACACATCCAATGAAGCAAGCTGTTTGTTTTCAAAAACCCTTGGGATGGAACTGATGGAACCATGAAAATCGCACGCCAACACAGGGATTTACCTAACATCACGAACTGGGAGAAGGAATAGGTCACCACAAAAACATATGGAATTTCCCATCCCCCATTGTCTAATTCTTACCTCAAGATCACTGATACATGGATGTTGGCCAACATTCCACCTCTCAAAGAAGGTGGATGATCTTTTTTCCATCAAGGCAACAAACACTATGTGACTATGTGTGTTTGAAAATAGTGGATCCCCCCGAAAAGATCATGGTTCAACGCGGTTCAAAACCACACCCACACCCAATTTTTCAATGGCCATACATTTCGGTAGCTCTCTTGGATAAACCCCTGATCTTGGGCATCCTTCAGCCTGTGAATCAACCTCTTCCTCCAGCTCCTATATTGGTTGTATAGTCGTTCAATCTCCCATATGTTAATGTGTATATGTGTACACACACACACATATATATATATATATGTATAACTATATATAATAAGCCATGAATATCCCATGAAATCCCTATTTATAATGGTTAAATCAGCATCCTCCCCTAACCAAAAAACACCTGAGCTGCCCAACGAAGTGTGCAACCCCCCGTTTCCGCGCAGAGCTCGTCGCTACGGCCACAGATTTCTCGCATTTTACGTGAAACCTGGCTGGAAAATGGATGGGAAATCATGAGATTTCTGGGTTATAATGGTATAGCAATGGTATAGATGTGGTATAGCTGATGTGTTTAATGATGGGTAATACTCAGGAATTTAGCAGGATTTAAGTGACGAGTCTTCTTACGTAAAAATGCTTAGATCAACGATTTTGAAGAGCCAGGGTTGGCAAATTTTGATGCTTTTGTGTGCCTGGATCGAAGCACGTCTGAGGCTTCAACGCTTTGGCTTCTTCCTCTGCCTCGCTGTGCTTTAACAGAAAAACCAGAAGTTCTAATATCAGTACCAGTTAATTACATCGAATTCAAGAATTGCAAAGTGGAGTACGTAGCTTTCAACAAACCCAAATATCCCAAATATCCAACAAGTTCAAATCCATCAGAAGGATCTCCAATCGACAGCGAACATTGAGCGATTGAGTGCGGTGCCCGGCAAAACCATCGGACAAGATCTGAGTGTTGCAAGCGCTCCTGGCACTTTTGGGTGCCAGAAAAGGATGGTGAACGGTCAGCAGATCTTAGCACTGAACATGATCAAAGTTGGCGGCTTTTAGACTCGACATCCTCCAAATTATGGATGATTTTGCCAGCTAAAAACCATTATAAACCACTATAAACCTCCATGTATTTCGGGGATTTCCATTTTTGCTTCCCTTTGTTGAGCCCGCGCGAGGACATTGCGACTCCTCTGCAAAGGACAATGCGTCTTCTCGGGCTTGGGCCTCGGCTCGCGGCTGTGCTGTGCGTATGGTTACACTTCAGAACCATAGAGTTGGGTTTATTCAACTCAAAAATCATGTAGAAAATATGTAATTACATATGGATAGATATTATCTATAAATATATATATAGTTATATATATATATACACATAATTATATATATGATATCCATGTATATCCCAATGAGACAAATGGGATAAACGATGGAAAAAGCGAGCTTTGGCGGACCAACCCATTGGATCCAAGTGGCCAAGCTTTGCGCTGACTTCATGGATCGCTTGGCGCCAGCCCTGGCACCGTGCAGGGCTCCAAGGACCAACAAAGGCCAAACCTCAGAATCTGCAGGCATAGGAAACCAATGTGTGTTTTTGGGATTATATGTATATATATATATATGTATATAATATGTATATATATATATATGGATCTGGAATGGTCAGAGTCTTTTTTGGTTGTTGTTTTCGCCTCGCTTCAAAGCTGGTACTGAGAGTGATTCATCTTTCATCAATTTCTTGGTGCTTCGTTGATCCCCCCAAAAACATACATGAAATTGGGTTCTGTGGTAAACCCCCAAAAAACCAAACACGCACCAGAAAACACAAACAAAAATTGAAGTTTACGGCTACAATTCCATCCAGATTTGATACTAAACATCTCTAAAACAATGAAAATTTGGATAAATTTGGCCCAAATTTCATCCACAGCACCGGTCCCTGAGGTGTGGACGGCAGCACTCAATTTCCAGGAGGCGCGGAACATGGCCACGGTGCCACCAACGATTGATGACCTGGCAGCTTGGCACATCATTGGCACAGGATTTTCCCAAAAAATCTGCCGGAGTCACGTGAATCTGGCCTGATTCAGCAGCAGCTGTGGAGAAATCTGTCAAATTGGCACTGAAAGTCAGAAACTGCCAAGCTTCCAGCCACATTCTGGATCTTGAGAATGAAATCAGCACCTTTCCCAAACATCTCCAATGCAAAGCCAGCCATTTTGGGTGAAAAAATGGAAGATCCAGCTGCCATCAGCTGCCCCATCTGGGTGTGCAACAGAGTGCCACATCACTGTCCATGGCAGCCACTGATCCTCGTTCCTGGCAACGGGATGCTGATCCCTTTTTTTTGCACCAGGACTTTACCAAAGCAGTGCTTTGGCGAAATACTGGATATTGCCCAAATACTAGATACTATATCTATGTATGTATATATATATATATGATATTATATATATATGATTATATATATATATGATTATATATATATATATGTATGATTATATATATATATGATTATATATATATGATTATATATATATATGATTATATATATATGGATGGGGGAGATACTACCGGAGCTATACTGCCTATGTCATCACACATTTCGGACCCAAAGCTCCTCGGGTGATTGGCTGGGTTCTTCCAGAAGCTTTGCGGCAAAAACCTGTGGAAACGTGGCCGTGGGAAAATACCACAGGTCTTCCGATGGTGTGGTCTGATGCTTTGCATATTATGGAGTTTGTCTTATTACCCTCTGGTAAACAAACATGTCACATGTCAATAGAACACTTGACATTTGCAGATCATTTCTCTAAAGCAACGATTTTTCATTCACAATCATGGTTGATATGGTTGGTTGTGAATCCCATTCACATCTTATCCGATATCCCATGAGTGTGGTGCTTTCATATTGCCGCCTGGACGGACATGGATGCACGCAAGCGCTCCGAGGCGCTGTCGAAAATGATGGTGCGTACACAACCTCCGCAGAAAGATAAAGCCAATCCAACATATATGATATATATATATGATATATGATATATGATATATATGATATATGTGAATCGGACGTTCCCTATGATGTGTCCCTGTTCTCGTAGTTGAGTGATCTGTTTCGCGTTTGTCAATGGTCAACCGGAGGCGAGCTTCAGCATTGCTCTTTTCTGCTTGGAATCTGCAGTACGGGGTCTTGAGCCAAAAGGACCGTCGGTTTTGGTGGTCCTTTGGCACTTGGAAAGATGGCTATGTATACTGGGATTACGGATTGAAGACTTACCGTACTCCCATTCGCACCCCCCACGCATGACTGATTTGATCAGTCACGCGCAGGAGAGCCGTCTTAAAGTCCCTTCTACTGCATTTACATTGATTTAATTATGGAGAGTTGAAAGTTCTCGCCGCGGCTTGCTATGTCTACATCTGTCTAAACTAATTGACTCAGCATCTGTACATGACATTGAAATCCACCCATAGCGGCGTTGCCGGCAAAGGGTTTCATACATGCATGACATCAGCTACGAAAACGAAAACGAAAGTGGAGCTAGAGATTACACTCCTGCTCATCTAAGACAAAGAAATGAGACACAGACCGCAGTCAAAATTCAACCCACGATGCATTACGTTTCAGATAGCATCGTATCTAAAAAAAAGGTTCGGATGTGATTCCCGTGAATTAGCCGGTTCAGATTTCTCTCAAGAGTCATCGGATATAGAGAAGAGTTCGATCTCGAGCATTGATTGCTGATCCACATGCGCAGCAATAGGACCTATGCAGAGGTCAAATATCACTATTTCCATCCTCTGTATCCATAGTTGCGTCCTGTTTAGCTCGAATTCCAATCGCCACCTCGATGTGAAGGTGTCCCTCTGCCAGCTCCGCGGTTTTCCCATTCTCTCCACGGTGGTGGTTCTTTTGGAGGTGCTTTTGGAGGTGCTTTTGGGGCCTGCTTTGGTAATGGAGCAGATTCCCCGGCATCTGTTGATGAGGCAGAGTGTGATGTTCCTGCATCAGGAGTAGCACTGGGTTTCGGCATGGCCTTTGCCTTGGCTTCTGCTTTGGCCTCCGCTGTTCTGCGGACATCCTCGGCCGTAGGCATGTAGGCAATTGCAGCTACATGAGCCTCAGTCATATGTGCTCCCCATCTTGGTCTCTGTCCATCACGTTTCTTCCCTTTGTTGTGATCCTCAATCGCATCGCATAGCTTGTTCAGTAATGGTCCTGGCAATCGTTGGCCATTCTGTAGAATCAAATGCATGACGGCGATGCGCCTGAGCTGTGGTCGGCAAGCACAAAGAATGTCGACTGGGTTTAGTGTCACTGCAGCCTGATAATCCACATTTCTGAAGAAATAGACAGCATTCACTTGATATGCCCCAGCGATCACTCGTCGAATAAATGTAGACTGTGCATCCAGAGAGTTGCGGGCAAGCGTAGATTTCCTCATTTCTTCTTCAGCAGTGTCACCTCTTGTCAGTGGTTGGATGTTCTCATCGCTAAATATCATTTGCAAATCTGAGAATTCATATCCACATTCCAATATGTACGTGACTAGCTTCTTGAACATAAGGGAACCATGATACGCATTGGTGAAGCCCTCTTCTCCCATATCGTCTTTCCCATTCGGGTTGCCGACCATCTCGTAGAGCTCTCTCATCTGATCATCCGTCGGCTCAATGAGAAGTCCATCATCATCTTCCCCTAGGTATGGAACTCTGGGGTCAAGGTCCAATCTGTAACTAGGGTTTCTCTGAAATTGCTGCCATCCACACTCAATATCGTCACAGAAATTCCGTTGGAAGTGTCTGTAAATTCTGAGTATGTTGTTTCCAATTTGTAGCAACAAGATCTTGATGAGGTCGGGTTGAGCGTCGCCAATCTGACATGGTTCGGAAGGTAGAACTTTGGATCCAAACTCTACACGCTTCATCCATGCGGGGTATGCAACGTTGGCATTCCTTGCCTCTCCAGCATGGTACTCTCCGATGTCGATGTTGGCATCATCTGCTCCTTCCTCTTCTATTGTCTCGGCCTTTTCACGTTCTTCTGTGAGGTATTCATCAACTTCATCTCGCTTCCTGAAGTCCCTCTTCTCCGATTTGAGCTCGTCAACGTCCGACTTTTGACTCATATCGTCATTGTCTTGTTGGGATTCTTCTTGCGGACTTTTCATTTCGACATCTTCGTCTTGTTCGACTTCCACATCCTCTTCATCGTCACTTGTCAGATCGATCTTGATCTTCTCCCAGGTCTGTTTGACATGCTCCTTAACGTCATCCTCGTGCGAACGTTGTTCGGCAGTCGGAATGCTGGCGACAGTGATCTCGACACGTTTCCTGAATCCGTGGCTGACAAGGTATCCCTTACAGAATACACAAATCGATAATGTCGCTGGAGTCTCACATAAACAAGCAGGGCAAAGTCTGTGACCTTCTTTGTTCGGACGATGAGTAAGTGCTAGCAATGCAATGGCATCATACCAATCATTGTGTTGTGGGAAAAGTCGACATGTGAAGCTTTCATGCGCTGTCTTGATGTCGATGAGTTTGCGGAGCTCACTCAGGTCTGGCGAGGAATCATCAGGCACAACATTCTTGAGGAGGCTGTCAAATCGATCAAGGGTTGCAATCTTCTTTGCATCCTTCACAGACAGTACGAGTTGTTCGTAACCTCTTGTGACCATCAGACGATAGTACTCCTTGCTGCTCCAATCATGATACCATACTGCATCAAAGGCACTGAAGGGGATCGTCTGTTGCACCAGGATGTGTCCATCTGCTGAAACTCGTGGAGCAAATTTGGCAATGGATTCATATGACATGTAGATGTAGACCAAGTCCGCACCTTCAATCTTCCTGAACCTCAAAACCGATTGACTCCTCTCATCCCATGGCGCGAATGGTACGAAAAATGTATTGATTCGGTCTCCTCCTCCTCCTGGGCGCAAGCCCTCTCTGAAGATTTGCGCTATGCACTCAAATGTCGTGCAGTGGAAACCACCTCCAAGTGTGTATCCTACACCAGGGTTCATCAAATAAGAGGTTTTGCTGTCGTCGATTCGAACTCCGCCTTGAATCCTGGAATGAGCCATCGGTGCTCTGATCGCCACTGGCCAAAGCCATATCTCTCGATCATCGTTGCCGATCTCGATCCTCAGTCTTTGGCGGTTGATCCTCGTCGTGAATGCATTGTCTGCTTTCAAGAATCTTTCCAATTCACCTTTTGTGACTTTCAAACCAAGGATCTGTGCTCTGATCCTTCTCTTCTGCTTGTACTCAGCGAAAATGATCTTTTGGAAAATGTCCCATCTTTCAACAATGATCTTGTAGTCAGGTTCTGAAGTTCCTGCCAAGGTGTATCCATCTCTCCATATGTGGTCGTACTTCATGATGTGTTCAACATTGACCCATCCAGCTTCATCGCATGGTAGTCCAAAGTGACCTCTCGTGTCTTTGATACAACCAATGGAGTGACGAAGAGCGGCATTGAACCTCTTTGAAAGATCAATTTCCCATTGAGGTGTGTCCCATTTCCTTCCCATCCATTCATTCTCAGCGTACTTCTTGACATTGCACCAACCATTTCCAACGTATTCTTCACCAGATAGTCGGGCCATTTGAAGAACGCCAACGTCATGGCCGTAGGTATACGGTTGAAGATAACGGAAGTTCCAGTTGGTACCATGTTCGGATCGTTGCTCTTCCATCCATTTTCGGAATTGGTCTGCGCTCTTGGGGTTCAGTTCATTGAGCTCCTGGATTGTTGGCAGTACTGGAGGAGAATCTTCGGCTGCTCTCTCGACAAGTGCATCAAGCTCCTGACGATTTCTCACGCCTTGGCCCGGAGGATGAACTTCCACTCCGTTCACTAGGAAAGATCCACCTTCTTCTCGATCACCAATTTCATACATAAATGCTGGTTGACTGTAGAAACTCTTGGTGACTTCCTCCTTCTCGGTGAACCTAGTCCTTCTCCATCTCTTTCCTTCGGGCATAATCCCTTTCTTTGGGAGCTTGTCCTTTCTTCCTCTTGTAGCTGCTCCTGATCTTTCGGAAGAAGATGGGGATTTCGATTGTTGCTCCATCATCAGTCTCATGCGCACAATTGCATCAATCACTGCCTCGTTGTCTTGTGCTTGGCATTCATCAATGTTGTGATTGCCTCCACATCCCAGACAAAATCTGACATTCGATGCATCTGTGACCACCTTCTCAAACTGATCACGGAGAATTCGAACTTCCGTTCGGCGTTTCTTCGCCTCGGATGGTTGACCCCCATGTCTTCCGCATCATCATCCACCTCAATGTCATCATCCCCTGCGCCAGTTTCGCCTGAAGTTTGTTCCATCCGAGTACCACGCGCCGTAGGCGACGAAGGGTCTTCTTCTGGTTCAACGACCTCAGGTTCATCTTCTTCATCTTCACTGGATGAGATCTCAATCAATTCGGGATTGTCATCATAGTTCGCTGTTGGAATAGTGGGCATCCTTGTGATCTCCTTTTGCATGAGCAGATCAAAAATCTTCCCCTCTCTCAGAATCGCAATCACCATCTCGTTCTCGACCGAAGGGATGTAGGCTTTCCTTGATCGATTGCGTTTCGTGTTGATGGTTTCGGTGTGGCGACAAGAGCTGCTGAATAGCCAGAAAGATTCTTCAAGTCCAGCAAGGCAACTATCGATGTTCTTTCCCCAACCATTGAACATTGTGGGGAACTGAATTCCCAGCTCGAGCATTCCAAGCCAAAATTCAAAGATGTCACCGATGTATTCTGCCGAAGCATTGAGGGGTAGAATTGATTCGATCTCCTCTTTTGTCAACACTGTTTTCATGTAGTCATGGTATGCAACATTCCCTCCATCCCAGAGCAATCTGTAGAACCATCGAATCGTGGTGACACCGTCATCATCGTCCTCACGTCGTGTTTCACGTTGGACTGAGAATTGAGACAGCAGGTTCCGTCTGCACTTACCCTTCACCATGTAGG